TTAAAAATTATTTAAAAAAAATATATTTTAAAAAATTATAAATTATATTCTTAAAATATTATAACATATAATTTTCATTAAATTAAATAATATAATATTAAAAAAATATATATTTATATTTTTAATTAAATCAAACATTATTAGGATTATCTAACTACAATAAGGGTTCCAGGTAATTTTTTCTCTTCTTTGTTAATGTTGTGCTATTATCTTTTGCATGTTTAAGATATTTTGTCCATTGGAATTGGTGCATCAAAGCGATACGTTCGTGTGTTGTAATTTTATTGTATTAAGCAATTCAGTCTGTACAGATCGCAATGGAATAAATGGTTGTGCCAAGGTTTCTCTAGGGTACTTGCTCTCCAGTACTATCTTGTAATTCTTAAAAAAAAATCAAGAGGCCAATAGGATTAAATGGTAATATATAACACGAGAATAATAACACAATGGAATGATAAAAACCATAATCGAATAGAAAGGCGATTCGACTGGCCCGAACAAGAAAATTTGCAATTGTGTTATTTCGACTGTGCTAAGAAGAAAATGGACAGGTAGAATTGAGGTGAGGTGAGTCAACACGAGTTCAAAGGTATTAAGAGGAGAAGAGAGAGATGAAAAGAGAGTTGAGGAGAGTCAAGAAGATGTGTACAGAAATGAAGGTCGTTGAAAAGAGATGACGAGAGGTGAGAAGTCGTTGGAAGAGTTAACAAGTGGTTTCACAATTTGTGACAAGAAGTCAGAAGTCCCGGAAAAGAGCATGGAAATCTGCCGCAGCTCCTATAGGCAAACCTTGTTTTTGGATCCTATAGTGTTACACTTCTTAAACCTGGAAACTTGTAATATTGATTTTTAATTATAATCTAAATTCTTAAATTATATATCTATATACAATAATTTGAAATATTTTGAACGATTTTTTGTTTGGCAAGACTAATTTCGATTCTCGAATGCGATGGATTCTGTATTCTGTTTTAATACATCAAGTGGATATTTGATTCAAACAAAGATAATTCATTTAATCTTGTTTTTCAGTCCCAAAATGCCTTGATCCAGAATCCATCTTCTTCATTTTAGCACCAAATAGGCTCAGTATCCTATGGAATTCAGAGCTGTACTTTTGGCCTCCAAAACAGTTGCATGGGTTTCCGGCCACACAGGCCGTTTTGTCAAGGCAGCGACGGCAAGGCCATTTGGACCCTGATGTCCAACATCTGCCAAGGCATAGGCCTGAGTCGCAACTAGCGAAGAGGTGGAGGAAAATAGCTCCAACCTTGACTAGTGGCAGAAAAGGAGGTTACCTGCTATGGGTTCTGGTTGTCCCTTTCTCTATTCATCTTTTTCAATGGTGTTACTGCGTGGATCTCTCCTGTTGTTCCATGACGGCGTCACCCAAGACCATGATCCGATCCAAGAACATGGGTATCGTGCTGCCTGGCATCCCCAAAAAGCTCAGCCAAGATACAGCATCCTCTCTCACAGAGGCCTGAGTATGTACTGATCCCAAATTTAAGTAGAATCTCTTGAAAAAATGCAAGCATGCTTGTTGATGATGACGATGATGATGATGATGACGATGACGATGAAGACGATGATGATGATGATGATGATGATGACGATGATGACGATGATGATGACGACGATGACGATGACGATGACGACTTGAAGTAGAACCACTTGTAGCACCAAGTTCTGCGCCAAAAAATCAAGCATTGCGAGCTCACTCTAATATTTAATAATGCCCAGATACCCGCCCTAGTCTCCAAATCTTCCCGCATGGATGTTTCAACACATGGTTTTCCAATGCCCCAAGGCACACTGCCATGCTCCAGCAGCGGTCCAAGTGCTCCGCAGAGTTTCGCCTCATGGGCCTCACGCGGATCGGGGAAGCCGGGATGGGTGGTTTAATAAGCCGATCATTTTTGTGGGGATAGATGGGGGATATGATGGATATATATATATATACATATATATATATATCACCATGATTTTGGGTGTGTATGAAAATGGGGGATACGCCCAATATATGGCTACTTTAATCGAACAAACTGATGATGGAAATACAATAATACATTGAATTTGGGACTGCGTAAGAATACAATCTTTTCAAAAAGACCTATGTTTTTCCCATCAAAGATATGGGTTCCTCCCAAATATCAGGTTTTGCACCTAACATCGGGGTCTCCTGTAACTCTCAATTTTTCCAACTCTGGGACGGTGCCAAACCAGCGACGGTCGAAATCTTTGGGATGATACTCCCAATTCCATCCAATTCCAACAATCGTTGATGGTGAGGGGGGCGAATGATCCTTATTCTTAAAAGATGATGTACCAATCAACACCACCCTTTTTGCTTCACAATTTCGCCGCCATTTACCATAGGATTTCCCATTCCACCACCCAATCTTCCATGTGTTCCATGGTGGTCTTACCATGTTTTACCCATCACCCCGCTTGGCTTCACCCAATCCTTGGCTTCGCGCCTCGCTATCACCAGCCTCATCTGGGCCACGGTCCAGTTCAGCAAGACCTTTGATGGCCACCTGCAGTAGTTCTGAGGAACAGCCCTCCGGGTCCTAGGGCCCAGCCGGTCATTGCAGTCATTGCACAATGAGCTTTAGCATCAATTTTTATATCAACATGGGTCGAGGCTCCAGACGATGTTGTTTTTTCACCACCTCAGGGATGTTTTTTGAATCCTTTTCCAAGAAAACCGTGATCTCATAGTTGGATTGCTTATCAGTTGAGGACATCACCAGACTTAACATGTAGAAAATGGTCCACGCTTGGCTTTTATACCCATCAACCAGCCACCCAAGCGGTTTCAGCTCACTCCTGTAACAGCTGGAGCATGGCATCCCTTCCTTCGAAACTTCTGGAGCTTCGCAGAACTTCCGCTGCCGGCACCCGCAGCGAGGGATCTTGGCCGATGGCCACATAGCGCAACGCCGCCTGCTTCAGCTTTGGGGCCTCGCTTTTGGCGGGATGTCTCCTGTTGGAACCCAAAAGTGATCCGATTTTTGAGGATCTGAACTCAAAAGTGATGGATTTCATCGCATCATTTGCTGTATTTTCCCAGGGAAACAAAAGGATGCCTGGTGATGAGTCGATGTTTGAGAGGCAAAACAGTTGACAATGACAAGGTGCTGAGCACTTTGCACTTCGATGTAAACAGGAGGGACTTGGGAGCAAAGTATAGACATAGTATACGTACATACATAATATATATATATATGTATATATGTATATTTGTATGTATGTATGTATGTATGTTAGTTACTGTATATATTGACATATTGATTTGGTTGTGGCTCTAGTTGTTATCTTGAGAAAGGCAAACAAACCAAGATGAAGCTTGCAGGAGGATGCTTTTATGTATCTACGCCATCGTTCACTTCAACCTCGGATTGTTAAGCCCCGTGGCTGATTGATCAGGCAGGCTATGGGGATGGTTAACACCTATGAAATACATTGACATATTTAGAAACAATATTGAAATACCATTTTAATCCATTTTATAGTTGATATTGCTGGGTTGTGTACCATAAACTCTCCAGGCTACCTTGCGGCAATTGGCCCGTCATTTTTTCGTGTCCCTGCACTGGAACCACCCAAAGACGAAGTTAATCCGATGTAAACATTGCCTGGCTGGTGGTTGGGCTACTTCGCCCAGAATCGTAGTGACCAGCTGTGCGGTCGCTATGAAATGTTTATATATCGGTGCCAATTTTTATTGGTGAAAGGACACCCTTCCTGTAAAATGGCAACTTTTGGATCGTTCAACTATTAACCCTCTTCCATATTTTCATGGTAAAGCAGAACATATTTTTGAGACTTTCTGTAAATACCAAACTCTCCCGATTTCAAATTTATCATGACTATCCCATGTTTCAACAGACCACCCAGACCCTGTCTCTTTGCAGCTCCAGTTGCGTACTCGGGATTTTCTGCATGGGGAATCATGGCCTCGAGCGCGGCTCGCTTCCTCAGGAAGTTGAGCACTGGTCAATCATGCCGTGGATGGCTGTGAAATCCTGGACCAGTCGGTAGATGGGCATTATCATTCCATTGTTTACACTGTTCCATAGTTTCCAATAGCTACCGACTGGTGCAGGGTTTTGTCCATCCACAGTATATAAGTAGAACAGGAAATCTGGGTTTGTTACTTTCCATATTCTCCAACCACTGGGGTTTCCTGCAACTGTAGCCAATTGATATAATGTTTCATCCTGATCACATAATGGGTGTGCAGCAGACGTACTGCATCTTGTCGAGCAATCTTCAGTCATTGCTCCAGCAATCGGAAACACGACCTGCTGTCAGAATATCTCATGAATATCTCCCAAGTGTTTTCATCTTGAACTCGCAAATGACGGGGGGATATGATATCAACACATCTGACTTTGAGTCAGAAAAGAGAATTATCAAACTTCGGATGGGTTTGTCTAAAATAGCTACCCAGAAATCCAAGCTGGTTGGTGGTTTTTCGCCACCCCTCTGAAAAATATGAGAGTCATCGTCAGTTGGGATGATGACATTCCCAACTATTGGGGAACATAAAAAAAACAATTCCAAACCACCAACCAGTGATTATTGAGCATGATTAACCATCATTAACCATCATTATCCCATTAAAAAGCCATGTTCCAAACCACCAAGCAGCAAGGGTTTATGATCATTTTCTCAACTCAAATGGCCTTTTCACTGGTGGGTCAATGGGTCAATCCTGTCATGGGAGATCCAACCATCCCATCGGTTGTGGTTGATAAGGCCGTTTTCTGAGAAACATGCTTTAACCATATATTTTCGAGTATTTTCATATAGTTTCCCCAAGTTTCAGAAAATATCCCCATTTACCATCCAATTTTCAAGACAAAGAATTGCAGCGGGTTTCAATGTAAGCTCGTCCGCTTCCAGCAATCGAAGACATGCCTCGGGCTTTCCGGGCCAGTCGCAGAGTTCCAGGGCGATCAAACGAGACCAGCTGAAGTGGTCCCCTGCGACCATACGAAGAAGTGCCTGCACTGACCGGAGGGAAACGACATGCAAAGTGGGGAAACATCTCCAGATTCTTTGGATGCACCCTCTTCGACCAGAAGAAGCGCGAAAGTCCGAAGTCATGGAAACTTTAGCTTGGCGCAGAAAAGTCATTACAGGTGGACTTCACCAGTTAGGTGACCGTCCCAGTAGGGGCTTAACGGATGATTCTAGTGGTTGGCTGGTGAAAAAATGTGAAAAAGACCTGAAAATCAGGGAAGGTCACCTGTGGAGGGGTGGTTGAATCCCATTTTCAATAGGACAACACACACACACACAGGTGCAAAGTCTGATTGGTGATGGCTGAATTGTGATGTCAATCACGTTGTGACACGGCCAGCAATATCCAGTAATCAGTTCTGCAAGCTACTTTGCCTGACCTCCGATGTTTTTGCCAAGATGCATTCTGGACACCCGCAAAACGGGCCTCACCAAGGTTGTACATGACCTTCTCCAAAGTTGCTTTGCACTCCTGGGAAAGCTTCACATGTTTCACTTTTTCAGCATGTCATACAGTGGACCGGAGTGCTTAAGACACATCCCAAACAAGAAAACCCACAACCATCTTGTGTTCAGCAGCAAGCAAGACTTGGACACTTGGATAATAGCACTATATATATATATATAGCACCAATAATGCCATGGTCCAAACTCCTCAAAGAGCCCTGTGGTAATCCAACCATCCTGGGAGAATTGATGCATTGGGCACTAGCCACTACGAATCCATATTCTGTGTGCTGCCCATATTGCTGAGGTAGCATCAGTTGCGTGTACACGTCCAAGTATGAAGCCCTACAAGTTGGGTATGACCATCCTCTTTCATATTGCAGGTATATAATCCCAGAAAAAATAACTCTATAATTCATTATATTATATATATATATTATAATATATATAACTATCACAAAATACTGCATCATGCATCCACCCTATCAGTACTTTGACCATGGCAGCCGTCAAAAGCTTGCCCTCCATCCCATCCTTTCGGATCGATGCTCTCTGGCTCCGAAAGCCCATCGCAATCTCGCAGCACGCCTCCTCACTCAGTGGATCCTTACCCGCGGAGGGCGGAGCTCGCAGGAAAAATCCGAAAACTCCGAGCCCAAGAAGTGGGGGGGCCGCCTTCCCCAGGGTCCTTTGGGAGGAAAAACATGGAAAAACCCGGGTCGTCCGATCCAGATGGCCAGAGCCATCTGCCACCGCCATGGGCCGAGCTACTTCGGTGCCATCATTCGCCTCTGCGAGCTTCACCAATTCCGAACTGTAGGACTTGTCGCCAGTCGCACGCAACCTGGGGCAGATCATCTTCACAGTATCCCAAATGGGTGTTGAAAGGAGGTATAACTGGTAGAACCCCAAGTTACTGCCAGTTTGCATTGGGAAGATCATCATCAACCAGTGGATGACCATATTTTTTAAAGAATCTCAACTGTGTCTACTAGACACCGACCTTGGGATGAAGCCCGAAAATTGGACGTGCTGGCACTGACTGGCAGGGACTAACCTCAGTTGAGACTATTCAAACAATCAGTGTTAATCTTGGATACGCAAAGAATCAAATCATCTTTAACAAACACCATATTATTTGTTTATTCGAGTTCAAACTCTCATCTACCAAAGGTAAACCCAGCAGTGAGCAATGGCAAAGCAACTTCCGAGCCAACGCTAGGAAGTTTGCCAGCTGTTCCATGGAGCGATGGAGCAAGAACAACGGAACCCCCGGTGATCATCAAAATAAATGTCAAACGGATGTTCATTTCTCAAACAAATCGTATTTTGAGGTATTGATCCATAGCAGTTGATGATACTGTGACAAAGTTTATGGATGTTTGTGGATGTTCATGGCTTCTACTGATAGGTCATCTTGTTGAAACACTTGAAACTCACACTGCTGCCAACACAGGCCTTGAGCAAAGCTGGATGTGACAACAAAGAAGTCTAGTTGCAATACCACGTCCTGCTGTTGAAAGTTGAAGTTCGCTTGTTTCCGTGTCAGGTTTGCACACTTTTGTGATGGCTTCCATTTCCCATCATCTCCCGATGACGACATTCACACTCACATTGCCACATCGGTTGGTAAACCTAATGCAAGGCGCATCTCTCTCGTGAAGAGTTTGTTTCAACATGTTTAAGACTTGTTCTACGAGTATCTGCAAAAAGCCATGCAAAGTTCCTCTTGATATCTCTGGATCAGGCCTCAGCAAGACATTTTTTGGACGGCGGGGGGGAGCAAAATGCTCAGGTCTTAAAAGCTATTCACTAAATAGGAGATCCCAGAGGAGTCCTCTGGATCTGGGAAAACATGCAGCAAATGCTTGGAGATATCTTAAGATACCCTTGTGAGACATTGCTAGACATCTGTCTTTCTGCTTGGTAAATGTTGGTAGATGAAGGAGAAATGCCACTACAAGCTGCAGTGCTGTAGGGCACTGGATATGGCAGTGTGTCAAAACCTTGTACCCCTGGTGAACATCAAAATAGCTGGTAAATGGATGTTAATCCCACTAAAAATGGTATTTATAGGTATTGATCCATACCCATATCTGTCCCATTCTTTCCAAAAACTGAGGTCCTCCTTTGTTCAGACTTGTCATTTTTTGTCTGGAATCAACTTGCTTAGGTAAGTCCAACTCTGAGTCGTCAGGAGGGATGACAGAATTTCAATGTTTTATAATACCATCTGGTTATTTAACATAGCCATGGAAAATCACCATTTGTAATAGGGTAAGTAGCTATAAGTAGCTCAGGTCAACTATCTCGCGGCTTTCGCTGGCTTGAGTGCGCTTGAAATTTCCAGCGTTCGACAGAACCAATTTCGACGGCGGCTACGCCACGGAGAGGCTTCCCAAGAGCCCAACATTTGGTCTTAAATGCCTATATAATGCAAATGGGTTGCAAAAATCCCCAATAAATTCGGTAGTATAACCTCCGGTAATCACCAATCAACAGAGGTAGTTTGTTCCTGGTTCAACTGAGTATCCTACTCGCCCTTGCACAAAACCGTCTCCGCTGACCCCGCAAAATAAACATTTCTGCAGGCATGGTCCAAAGATGGGAGTCTAAATGACTCTTCCTCCCATGCCGCATATCAAAGATGCCAAGAGTTGCCATATTGATTCAAGGTTTTGGTATACATTGCGGGGTATGTTTTGCTTGTCCCAAGTAGAATATCTTGTCATTTGAAAACGCAACTTGTCCTGGACATCACGGCCTTGGCGTGCTGGTCACGCGCTGCCATGGCTTTTCTGCGTTCTAAAAGCGACGGGCTGCTGATCTAGTGAATTGTGTCTGGTTGCACCCATGGCAACATTGCACATTGGAGATTCTTTGCCAATGATGCAGGTGGAACATGGAGGAAATGTGCGAGGATTACTTTCGACCCAAGATTCACCATGGCAAGTGGAGTGTTCAGAAATTTGTATATATATATATATACAAATACATATTATAATATATATGGTAATTTATATTATATACCATGTTGGTAAAGCAATGATAAGCCATCCCCAAATTTACCATAAATGGGTGGTATAAACCACCAACATATGGATGGTCAATTGTTGCTTTACAACGTGATCCCCTAGGCGTACCTGGCCTTCACCATCTAACCCAAAGAGCATTGCGAAAATGGGCTTCACCTCTATGCCAAGAAATGGAAGGGGCTTGGGCTGGGAGCCATGGTTATGAGAATGGGCTTCAAACACAAGTTTCACTCAACAAATCTGACTGCTGCTTCTCCTATTGAATTATATTTGAATGATATTTGATATATCTGCCAATGGGCACAACCATCCACCCTCGATGGCTGACCGGCTTTGCGAATCACGAGGTGTACAACACCTGCAAGGGCGAAGGATTCCATAGAGCTCCAGAATCAGGGCTGCTCCCACCCCAGATAGAAGGAGGTTAACGGGCTAAATATGGCTAAATGAAGAGGAATCCATTTAATGTTGTGGCTATCAGCTTTCATTCACCTATATATATATATATTACAGTATACGTATAATTAATGGGTTGGAGCAACCCTGAGAAGTGAAGCACACAACAAGAGTGGCGCTTTTTTTGGGGACGGAAAAGGAGGAAATCACCTGCCATCACTCTCTTTTGAGGGTCAGTGCCAACAGCCATCCAGGCATGTTTTGAAATGATTAGAATGAATAACCGCAATGGGACCTTTACGAAGCCCCAAGCCACTGATCTCTGGAAAGTGCCAATCTCCCGCTCGAGAGCCTAGTCATCGAGCCCAGCGATGGCTGAGCAGATTCGCAATGCAACCTTCACCACCTGAATCAGGCCGACGGCAATTTTGGAAAGGATTGGATAGAAACGGGAGAACTCCGTAGGTACTGACATGCGTCTAAGTGGCCTGACTATGAACATCACAAACCACTCATGGTGTGCGATGGGCTAGACATAGTGATCAATGAATAAATATGAATAAATATGAGTAAATGATCCATTATCAATCTGTTGATGCAGTGGATGGTCATCTCATCTTGAAATGCTGGGATTGCTCACAAATTCTACCCTGCCGCCACTAGCACAGTTATGGAAAATCTACGGGAAAACAGCATTAAAATGGTCGACAAATGGCATTTTGAATGTCATATGTCCATATCTATATTGGTTTAAATTCGTTTCCAATATAGATAAATGTCATATGTCTATATTGTTATATGACAAAATTCGTTTCCCAGTGGGTAGCTTTCCAAGACCTTTAACTAGGCGTATAAGGCTCTCGAGATCGCACAGCCAGGTGCTCTTTTTTGGGCCCCCTGCATGTGGCTCATGCATCATACCTTGCCACCGGGCTAGCGGGTAGCCGGGTAGACTCCGAACAGGAATGGGGTTGGATCCATCATGGTGATAACTGCATCAGGGAGGAAAGTGCATGAAACTGGCTTTCGTTGCCACGCTTTTGAAAGGTCAAACTCAGTTTGCCCTCTCAGGCAGGACAGCAACATACCATATATATATATATGAGATTGGAGTCTCTTCACTGTCAAAAAGATTCAGGATCGCCATTTTAGCACTGTTCGAGACGACCTTTACAACTCCATGGCCATTTCGGAGCCAAGAAAAAACACATTAACCAGCTTCGAAGCTGGAAACTAAAAAACCCGTTTTTATTTTTTCGATTTCTGGGCAGAACGGAACCATCAGCGAGCCCACCAGGTTTTTCCAAGAACTCCAGCCCATTCCCCACGACAAGATGCTGAAATGTGTTCCAGGCACCTGGTGCTGTGGGGATTTTAAGCATCGCGGACTGGCAACCGAATTCATCAAATGGGTACTAATCCCTACTAAATATACACATTAATATTAATAAATATTTGATAATATTTATACTAATACATATTTAGAACATCTAATAACCAACCCAGAAACCTGGTTTCCTACTGGAACTGTTCCATACTGTTCCTTTTGGGGGTCTCATTTTTGACGATCTTTAAGGGAACTTTATAGCGCCTTCATGGTGACTCCTCCCTTCAGCTTCTTGGTCACGAGTTCGTCCTCCTGGAAGTTCTTCGCTTGGAATTCACCTGGAGCAGTGGACCTGCAACCTGTGGGTATATTATGCTTATTATGCTGATAGAATCTGATAAAAGTTTCCGACTATTTTGCCAAGCAGTATTATGCTTACTACCGTATATCTTATTATGCTGATAGAGGTCGAAAATCTGCAGTGACACATTTATTGGACTTTTGGAACCACATGGCCAGTTCTTGGGCGTTTCGTGACTCCTCAAGTGGCCAGGTACATGGTCAGTCATAGGTCAGACTCATCTCCAAAGATTTGAGAAGATCCACAGGGTATGCAACACGGCTCAACACCACCGGACAGCCTGATTGTGGGTGGCCTGGGTGGCCTGATTCTAACATGGTACTGTAGGGGTCTTCCTATGCTGAACAGCTGACAATCTAGTTGATAAGTGTAACATATTGTAACAGGGTACCGTCACTGACATTTAATTTGCTGAGCAAGGACACAACCTGGCATCCCAAATGCCCTGTCAAACGATCATCATTGCAGCTATCCACCAGTTATTTCCGACCAGCTACGGACAATCTTCTCACCCATGCTTTCCTCTGCTGCTTCAGCTTTCCAGGCCTCGGCTATCAGCGTGACATCTTGCATGTGTCAATAATACAACAAAACAAGGGATACAACCATGTAGAAACATGACAAGTTACATGCTTGCCAAAAAAATGGGAATCTATCATCAACAAGAATGGACATATGCATTTAGAAGCATCCAAACTGCAGCTTGTGATCTTTGTCCTGATATCATGTTCTTTGAAGATCATGGCCAAGAATACGTCGACTCAGACACTTGACTAAAGCACACTGAAGCCCCTACTGCTACGGCTCACCCGATAAACCTACCACGTCTCAAAGCGCAAGCTTCAGCGCCTCAACATGGGACCATTCTGAACAAGTTGATGGCTTCATTCCATCACCAGTGGCTCATCCAAAACGATCCCTGGGATAAATCCCCGAAAAACTGGGTGTAGAACGATGTAGAACGTATATAATTACCATCTGGTTATTTAACATAGCCATGGAAAATCACCATTTATAATGGGAAAATCCACTATAAATGGGCCATTTTCCATGGCTATGTTAAATAACCAGAGGGTACTATACTTGAACCAGCTTGAAACCACCTGCCAGTGAGTTCTTCCAAACCCCAAATGCCTGCAGATCCCAGTTGCCATTGGAGCTTGTAAGCGAACACATTGCACATCATTGGACTCAGGCACGGCACCGTTCTGCAGCAATGAACTGTACCACTGCGTCGTCTCCTTAGATCGGCAGTCAAACCAGTAGTAGCTTCATATTTTGATCTGAAATTGGGGAGGTCACATTTTCTCTATCTGAACTTGATAGGGAACAATATCATCATGACTTCACCACCCCAAAGATGCGATTGTGGAGAAACCTCCTGCGTCGTACTCAACACCTTCAGCTTGCTCTGATCTTTGCCACGCGTCGTGCAAGTGTTCCAGAGATGCCAATGCGCTGGGATTCAGCGCTTTTTTGATAGCCTGGTTTCACCAGCGTTGCCAACGGTGCTTGGGAACGGTGGTCGCTACTGACAATCATATGCATACTCTGTGATTGGTTGATACCCACAGGCTTTCTGAGGATTTGCTGGGCATCAACCCCATATCATTTATACATAGTACCGGGATGGGGTGTGACTGAACTGGAACACATTGATGATTGCCCTCTGGTAGTCTAATGTTTGGCAGCACAGTGTAGTTGAAGCTCCTTTCTTACTTGAATAATCTTGAGTGGCAAAGTGTAAAAAATAGGCAAATCATCTGCAGCTCCAATGAATACGGGGTATGTAATCACTGAATGTGTGGTCACCAAATTTCGCATTGGACAAACCCAACCGGGATCCCAGCTCCGCAATGGACACCGCAATGCTCCGCACCTCATCACGGTCCTGTACTTCCACCTTCTGCAGACTCGACAGCAACTCCTGGCGCGTTGACGGCGTTTGAAGCCTCTGACCACACAAACCACCCGGGAATTCCCCATTAAACGGGGATTGGTACATATTGGTACCCCTCTGGTAATTTAACACTTTACCCATTCAACGTGATGATTTCCATAGGCTGTGTTAGAAATAACGGGAAATCATGTGGACATGGCCGTTTCGAGGATTTTCGATTGTTTTTGTTTTCGCCGAAGGATCATAAGCAACATTGTCCAACAATAATTGGGACACTATGTGGCAACAGCCAAGCAGCCAGGATCATCCAAACATCGGTTGAAGGGAAAATCATGGAACATCCATGACAACTCACCTCTACATGATGGGAAACAAAACCATTGGCTCTTCAACAAAAAATCCTTCAGATAATATCACTCAAATACAGTTATGAAGGATTTTTCCAAATGGCTGATAGTATCAACCCCTGGTGAACATCAAAATAGCTGGTAAATGGATGTTCATCCCCCTAAAAATGGTATGTATAGGTATTGATCCATACCTATACAGTATCACTCAAATCATTATCAGCCACCGTTCGACAGCTCCTGATATTTCTGTGCTTCGTTGCCGGGCAAGGTCTGACACAGCAACGCCAAGCTCTCGGTGAGACCTGTGGAAACGATCAGCAAATCTATGCTGTCGGGAAGCTCATCCCTTCTGGCGAATGTGGATTCCCACAAATCAGGCTTGTGACATATTGTATTACTATTACCCTCTGGTTATGTCAAAATAGCTATTGGAAATAGCCATAGAACTAGTTGATTTACCCATAAAAAATGGTGATTTTCCATAGCTATGTTAGTTTACCAGAGGGTAATATGTATTAATCCTCGTACAGACAAGGTTTTACAATTTCTCGCAGTCTTGAGGTGCTTCATCTCTACAAATCAGCTTAGCAGTGTCAAATCTCCAAAGCCGCACCTGTGACACCTGGATACACCTGACTATCGGTCAAAGTTCACATCAAAATAGCTGGTACTTTTGGATGAATTCATCCTACGAATTCCATGGCGTTCCAGCCATCCAAATCTTCACACCCGACACGTTTTCTGTGACACAACGGAGGTGGCACCTGAGTCTTCAAAGGCCTTTTCCACGTTCACGTCCAATGGAAGCAAACTTCGAGGATCCAGCAGAATCACCATGGACACCTCTGGCTTGGATCAAGGCCCAGATGCCAACCCGGATTGATTGAAAATACTGAAAATCAAAAAATCGGGAATCCCCGTCAAATAGTGATTTGACTTGTTCGTTGAATGGCAATTATCTCCCAAATTGAACTGCCGGGGGGTTTATTGCTCTGGAGTTGGCAACGTGTGACGAGCAACTGGAATCATCTTGCGAGTCTCAGAGTTGCATTCAGAATCTGATATGGCAGTTCAACCAAGATTTTCTGAGTTTCTGAGTGCATGATATCCAGATATCAACTGCTGCTATCGTGTTATGCCTCCTTCAAGGATATGAGTTAAACGTGGCACCCTGGAATGCAGGGCACACATTGACTGCTCCAAAATTTGAACCTTACCACTCAAGTATGGGACACTTGTATCCTCACTCTGGCAGGTGGCAGTGGTGGCAGTGGTGGCATACCAATTTATCAGTGACAAAGGATTGACATATGTAGTACACACATATAAATATAGAAAGATAGATCTATTGTCTGTTATCTAGACATGTAATATACATCATATACATCACATATATATATATATACATACACGTATATATAATTATAAATAAATAAATAAATAAATAAATATATATATATGTCGTAAAAAGGCTATAGGTTACAGGTTCACCACATTCCATGCGACGCATAGGTCTGATCCCGGCGCAGCCTGCTGTCCGGCAGCACGCACCACGTTGGCCATCTCGAGGCAAACGTTGGCACCTGGGTGGCTGGTGTGGATGTGCGGGACCCACTCACCATGTGTGTAATAATCATATGATTCATATCAGGTAATCCCAGGTATGTATATAATATATATATAGGGGATATAAAGCAGTTCTACATGGGTTATTAACCACTTACTACTTGGGATGAGCAAAATGTGGGCTCTGTGCCCTTTGTGCTGTTGACTGCTTCGAGCTGTCATCATCTTTTCAACCTGGAAGCAACAAACATCCTCAAGCGCGGGCCACGACAATCAAGGCCTCCGCAGGTTGGTCTTTCTGATAAGCCAATCTAACTATGGTTAAGTCCACCATAAGTCCAAGAGTTAGCCTAGTGACAAACCTACTGACCTATCTATTGCGACCCCTTCCTGCATCTACATTCTGACTTTTTCGCCAAAGGGGCCAAAGGAATGACCAGCGAAGAGGTACGGTCCTTGAGGCTGAATCTTCTGGATCTCTTTGAAGAAATGCTCTGAAAGGTCCTGATCTGCAGGGATAGGTGGCAGGGGTCAACTTGTCGGGAGTCAACTTGTTGGGAGTCAACTTGTTCGGAGGTATGACTTCCAGACATGCCTGTAGAAGCACATTTACGTAACATCAACATATACTGCATTCACCCTCACTTGAACCCATCAACATATACTGTTGAAAGGTGGCTTTGGGATCATTTTCCAACTCAGCACCCCAGTTTTCTTGGGGACACCATCCTTCCAACTAACATAGACCCTGCCGATTGGGGGGTTGTGGGCTATTTTGCTCTTGAGATATGTTATTCTCAGATTATCTCAGGGGAGTTAGTTGGGGGTATGGGAATCGCTGGAACAATCCCTGTTACACCACTGAGTACAACAATAGTCCCCACTAACAATTCTAATGCACCCATCAAACCACAATAACCCCACTACCAACCATGGACCCAGCACTAGTTTGCTGGTGAAAGAGTGAATCCTACTCTTTGTCTGTAAAACCCACGTGTCTTGAATCCACAATTACCACCATTCTTGCTGGTCAACTCCCTATGAAATCCAATTTCTTGGATGTATAATGTGGGTAAAACAGTGCCATAAACCACCCATGACTGGGAATGGTGACCATACCACCTATAAAAATGGTGATGATTGGGGGATGTTTTTTTTGTTGCATGGTTTTACCCAACTTATATTCACCCCGCTTCGCGTGGGGTGGCCGCCCACACCGCAGGTTTATTTCGGTCCGTGAGAGGGGCTAAGGGTGGTTTTCCCCCGTGGGAGCTCTTCAAGCTAAGAAGTTTCAATAAGAAATCCTTCCAAAACATTGTTTTTGACAGTGTTTTTCCAATGTTTCCAGTCAAACAGACGGTAATTTACACGTTTTTTGCCATAAAGGCAGTAAATCCTTCCAAAACATTGCTTTTGACAGTGTTTTTGTAATGTTTCCAGTCAAGCATACGGTAATTTACACGTTTTTTGCTATAACGTCAGTCCAAAACACTTGTTTTTGCAGTGTTTTCAATGCTCTGGCATCCAAAAACCCTGCAAAATCTTGCTATGTACAATGTTTTTTTCATTTTTGGCCGTTTTTCCATTGCCGGAAAGCTACCAAAATGACCCAAAATTCCATTTCAATACCCTCTTGCGCTCAGACACCCAAAAATCCTCGAAAAATGTCGAAAACACCACCGTATTCTGGTCTCGGTGCGAAACCGTTTTTGGGGTCTGGTCTCGGTGCGAAACCGTTTTTGGCCCCCCCCCAGCTAAAGCTGATATAGCGACTGCTATATTAACAAATGTCATTGAGCATTTAGTGTTGCTGTTGCCCCCCAATAAGCACGCCTTCACCGCCAAAGCGGTGTGGGCGGATTTTTAGTGGGTCAAATCCTCACGTTTCTCCAACTTTCATTCCCCTTGTCGTGCCTTGAGGCTGCTGGGCCACTGGCTGCGTGGCAGTCCCCGCGGCCAGCTGAGACCATAGGAGGGCAACGCCAGGCGCTGAGCCAGGGATCGGAAGCTGCCCGCCTGCATGCCTTGGGCCAGGGACGGAGGGCACCAGGACAACTTTCTCCAGGAAAAAGATGGACAAAACATGAAAAAGCACACATTTGTTGACAACATAGTTTGGCAACTCGGTCAAGATCGCGAAAATATATGGATTGAACATGATTGAACACATGTTCTTTTTCTCACCAAAGTGAATACAGGGTAAAAATATTGGTAACATCTCTCAGACATATGGAACATGTAGAAAACATATGCAAAAATCATGCGAATTGCAGGAATCACATTCATTGCTGAATGATTTTCAGATGTCATAGATGATATGGCAGTGTGTCAAAACCTTAAAATAGCTGGTAAATGGATGTTCATCCCATTAAAAATGGTATTAATAGGTATTGATCCATACCCATATCAGTTTGAACCCCTGAGTGGCTCAATGGTGCTGATCCGCGTTAGATCCCCGCGGCCTGCACCGGGCACCAGGAAGATAGGTCTGCTCTCTGGGCTTTCCACACCTGGCGTCGGAGGCTTTGTCCTTTGGGGTACCGCCCGTGGTACCATCTGGTTATGTCAAAATAGCTATTGAAAATGGCCATTTATAGTGGATTTTCCCATTAAAACCAGTGATTTTCCATAGCTATGTTAGTTTACCAGAGGGTAAATTTAATGGGAAGATGATGATTAACCATCGGATTTTGGGCCACCAAAAGTCCGAAGGCTTGGGATGCAAACAATGCCATTCTGCCAGTCTCTTCCGGTCGCAAACAGTGTTTCCCCAACATTAGCTTTGCCCAGTTCATCTTCTGTGATCCCCCAAAACCTACTAATTTCTGGCCAGAGTTTCCCATCTCAATAAGTACAACCCTACAAGCCCTACAATCATCAACCCATCATCAACCATGGGTCAACACAGCTCTGCTCGGCCTTTGGTGACGCAATGGGCATTCAGGGACTCCACATAGGTCTCTGCTGCAGGGGCTGCAGCCACAGGAGCTGTGGACGCGGAGGAGGCTTCGGCTGGCAGGTCGCCCAACCTCGAGGAGCAGCTTGTTGAGACGTGGCTGGTGTGTGCACGGAATCTTCTCAAACGCATAATTGATTTTCAAGATATCCTGAACTCTGTGCAAGCAGTGAATCTCTAATCTTTCTTTGTTTTTTGAATCAACTTGACAGTACAGCTACCAGAAATGGTACGGCTTGCACTGCGCATGGCCACTTTCCTTTGGTTCCAGCTTTCAATCCCCATGAAAAACATGAATGTCGATTGGGATCAGAATCCCAGGTAGGATAGACATAAACATATACATACATCATTCTTTGAATGTAGTATGCATAATTCTATAATATAGGTATATTTCCATACATTACATTACATTCCATTACATACATATGCTACACGTATGGGGGTTTCCAAAAGACAGACACTTTTTTCCAGGATCTTATAGATCATGTTTCACAATCTCCAGGTTTCCAACTATTTTCATCTATTTTCTACCTCCTCAGGGGTTGCTAATATATATATATATATGGGGGTTTCCTAAAATGGAGGATCCCCAAATCTAATGTTGGAAGATTTGAGGGTACCCTTATTTTCAGAAATCCTGATATTGAAGCATCATGACATTATGAAACCAACCTGATCTGTCTCTCGTCGTTGACATAAGAACTGCTGAGACCAGCACTGGCTGTTGATGTAACCTGCCAACTCCTTAGAGGTCTACGACTCCAAGGTTGCGCGACGATGAGGAAAGGGATGGGTTTTATGGACATGAAACCAACATAAACCATAAACCAATGGCATTGGGAATATAATGGAAATATCATGGAAATATGATGGATTGGTATGGGAATATCATGGATATGGTTCTGATATGATAAACCATAGAATTAATGGTATGATATGTCAGGGATACCGTGGGGATATTATGGATATGACATGACTCTATTATATGACCATATCATGACGTGTGACCATATGTCATATGATTTGGATATGATTTGGATTCGTCCAGAAATTGGGATGGCCCCCCACCCAATTCATGGCCATTGAATGATAGGGAAACTGATGATAGACCAGTGGATGGAACGGGGTCGATTTACGTGTCCCATTTTCACACAAAGCCACATCTACAAGAATGGTCGGTCCAGTCCATACCCCTGGATTTGAGTCAGTTTCTTTGTTGGACATCCAAAGTGGTTGGTCTTAGTAAGATCCCAGGGACTCTGAGTGACCTGGGGGATATACTATATGGATCCACTTCTCTGTGTAAAGCATCGGAATTCACTGGAATTAACAAACCTGACATTTGCCCACCATCTCTGGCAATGATTTTGGGGGATATCCTCTGGTTATTTAACAGTTTGCTGTGATAAATGGCCCATAGAAATAGACAATACCGATAAACATGATGATTTATATACCTCTCAAAAGTGTTGTTTTTTTTTCCGTTCGTTGCGCTAAATTTCCAGAGGGTACAGTCATCATTTCCCGTGTTTCCCTTGATTTTTGCCACCATCTGGGGCCATCCCAGGGCTTTAAGGCTTTGGTCGCTACACGTCACCTCCGTTCGTTGTTGTCGAGCAGCCGTCACCGTGGGATAGTCGAAGACCATGGAGTTGGGCAAGTTGACACCATCGAACTCGGTCTGCAGACGATTCCTGAACTCCACACCTGCCGTGTACGTGGACAGCACAAGGAAAGGGGGTACAGCCTATGTTGTAAAAAGACCATGATAAAGAGACCCAATGGATGGTAGAATGCTTATATATATATATACATATGTAAATATATACACGTGTTTATATATATATATATATCACTTTTGTTGCTTCATTACATACATAAGCAGTAGTTACCTATGTCTTGTTGCGGTGTCTGCCCCAGATCTTGCAGTCTTGAAATGTATGGTCTTGGCGGCCAATCTGTGGCCCCAAAGCCCATCAAAATCTGCAGTCGCTCCGCCTGAAAGTGAATCCATGCCGGAGTCCATCAAGGCGTGGTCGGCTTCCAAGTCGGCGGAATCAATGACCTGCCCAAGGCAGGAGCCACGGCCATGGCCACAACTCTAAGTGATGAATCATGACAAATCTCCTGTGGCGGTAGCATCTCAGGCAACCCTCTAGATACATCCCTTGTGATTGTGAGATGTTGAACAAACAACCAACTTTGTTTTCTCTGCCACTGCTTAACTTCTCTAGATCATGGATTCAAATCAACGACTGCGGGTACAGCCAGTCGGGGCTTGCTCAGTTGGCAAAGGCCGACGGAGAAAACACTCGTCATGATTAAGCATGAGGGTGGTGGTGGTGGTGGTGGTAGTGGTGGTGGTGGTGATGACCACACGTCAATTCCGAATAACAAACCTGTATTCAGCCTGGCCTCGCGTGCGAGGTCTCGCAAGCTCGCTCGGACTGCCTGCCAAGACATTTCAGGAATTACAAGCTTTCAAGGGGAAAGAGCCCTATTAAATTCATCGAAACTAGGGTATAACTAGCAATACCTAAAATAATGACGTATGATGAGGGAATAACTTTCTATAATCAACAATATTGGGTTATAAATGGTTATAAAACAATAAAACATTCTCTGAAATGGGATGGCTGGGTTACTTGGTGCACTCGTGGACGTGCGAATGGACATCTGTTGGGATTCTTGAGATCCACATTGACCAAACACTGAACACATTCTTTTCTGGTTGGTGGTGCAATAACCATCTTGAAAAATATGAAAGTCAATGGGAAGGATTATATATACCATATAATTATTATGAAAAATAAACAATGATTGAAACCTTGAAACCAGCAATCAGTTTTTCATATCAATCTCATCTTATCTGCCACCCATCTAAACAATGGGAAAGACATTGGGGAGCATCATCCCATTGCTAGCGGAGAACAGAAAACAACTTTGAAACCGCATGATTTTTAGATATGTTTGGTTATATTCCCAGAAAATCCCCAGTTTTGGATTATCACATCCACATTTCAGCACAACCGAGCTCCCATACTAGGCTTGAAGCTAAAGCAGCCACACGGTCATTCATTGGGACTATATGTTTTTTGGTATATATTCATATTCATCTCAGATTCTCACGTTTTTCCCGTTTTTGCTGATTTTTTTCAGGCTCGGAACCCCCTTTTCGGCACCCCACCTCCAGGCGTTCCTCGGGCGACAGCCCTGCCAACGCCGACAAACTTCCGCCGCCGCTGGCTTCGCCGCGGGCGGCACGGGCTTCGGCGGCCTGTGGCGTCTGGGTAAATGGTAATGACTATGTCACTGGATTGGTTTAAGGGAAAATTTACAGGAAACCATGGTTTTTACCATCAAATATAGGGCTTTCCTGTAAATTTTCCCATCATCCAATTCTATGACTATGGTAATGACTATGGTAACAACTATGGTGGCAAGTAAAGGGTGGTTATAACATGTTATAACCTACAACAATGGTGGTTATAACTATGGCAAGAAGCCCTACAACTATGGTCATAAGCTAAGTAAATGGATAATACATGATAATACATGATAATAGCCTAACAACTATGGTGGTTATAACTATGGTCAACTTTGTTACTCGGTACAACTATGGGTAATAGCCACAAAAAAGTAGGGGATATAACCCCTATTGGTCAACTGGAGGGTTTGCTTCGATGATTTTCCCAGCGAATGAAAACTCCATTGAGTTCGTGGATTGCCCAGCTAGCCACGTTTGATGATGGTACTTGGGTATGCAAGTTGGTTTCTATTTGCAGTTAGATGAGGTTTGTTTACTTGGTAGAATCCATTTATAGCTCAGAATAATCCCAGACTGGGTGATTTGATATGTGCCCCACTTACGATGCCTGGGATGCACTCAAGACAGTCAGTTTTATTTCCTCCAGACACATTTTGTTCAACACATTTACATCTTTTCGGCCGTGAATAGGGGTGATGGCTGTCCTCTTGGAAACATCAGTAAGAACTCTTCGGGGAAGATCATGTCCATCTGTGTTCGAGGCAGGGGCACCCTGCCTCCTTCTTCGCTTCTGCTTCGAAGTCTTTCAAGAAGTTTGGCACTTGAGGATAAGCGCTCCTGGGCAGATCAATATGACAACAATTGACAAAATATAGTATATATAATTTGTATATAATATGTATCCGCTCAGAACAAATCAATTTCTGAGGAACAGCGCCAATCAAGAGCTGAAATACATTTCGTTTCGTATCACTCAGGTGCCACCAGATCTATACACAGAACTTTGGAAACACAACTGATCACAACTGTGCATCATCAAATTTACAACCCAGGGGAGCTTTCATCTATGGCATTTGCGTTACGGTGACAATGCATTGATATTCTGGTCAAAGTTTATCTCCAACTCAAAAATGACGGGTGCCATACCAAATATACGTGGGCCGGTGCCTTGGTACCCATCACAAATGCAACTAGTTGATGAGGTTCACCAGTTCGAGCTGCAGATTCGCTTGGCTTTGCCTGAAAGAAAGGGTACTGTAGCCCTATATCCATAGCTTAATCATCATTTTCCCTAATCATTTTATGGCCATCATTTAGAGAAACATTTTCCATTTTCAAACACATCCAGAATCATATTGTTTGATTGCAGCTTCATTTGAGGCCAGGCATCTTCAAATACTTGCCCCAGCGGACAGGCACTGCACCCACCAACAAATTGGAGCTGGAGAGAATGCCTCAGGCGCAAGACTTCAAAAATCCATTCGAAATGGGATCATGGCCGTTCAAAGCACCACACATATCCTTTTTTAACTTGCAATCAAAATTGCAATGATTCCATCAAAATCCGTCAAAATCCAGCTGACAGTCAGATTCGATCTGAATGATCTGAGCTCTTCATGATTCTTCAATCACTGGGTTGGTTTAAGGGAAATTTTACAGGAAAAACCAATATTTAATGGTAAAAACCATGGTTTCCTGTAGATTTTCCCTTAAACCAATCCAATGATTCAAGTGATGAGGACAGGTTCTCCAACTTCGGCCCAGGTTCTGTTCATAATCGCCAGTCCCTGTGAGTTGGTCACTGCGCCCACGCCTTGGCTCCAAGAATCGACGATGACGATGTGAAGATGATGAAATCAGTGGGGAAATCCATTGGAATTCAATGGATATAAGTTATATAAGAGATAATTTGTTGGAATATCATGGAAACTATGGATGAATTGTTGGATTAACATGGATTAATCAGAAACTACCTTAGATCAACGCAAAAAAAGGCTTGTGGACCTGATGCTTAGTTTACCAGTCATCCGTGAGGCCATCCCCGAATTGATATGGCCCATTGAAACACGGTTTGATTCAACATGGGCACCCACAAGGGGTTAAATATAAAAATGGCAGCAGTTGCCATCCGCATTTCTGCTGTTGCCAGCATTCCTTCTGTGAAATCCCCAAGTCCGTCCGTAAAATCCCATTTCTGCTCCCTTTCTGGAGTTTTCTGGTGCAAAGATCCTTGTGGGTAACTAGAAAACGGCGCATTTTCGGATCGTTTTTTCGGCCGAGCATCCCATCGACTTAGCTCGTCCCAGAGTGTTGGCCTGCACAGCCATGCCCACTTCAGCCCATGGGCCCCACTGCACTGATCGTGCATTGCGCCACAAGGCTCCCGCAGGGTCCTGACATGGCAGTGTCCCAGATGGGGATTGACCAACATTTTTTCCCGGCTTTGATGCCAACAATGGTTATATATATATAATTAATATGATGTAAACAACTGTAGACATTCATTTAGTATTTTTATGTACCAAAAGCAAACGGTTCTGGTTATAGACATTTTAGATATGAACCAAAGGGAGCACCCAAGATTGACCCATAGCTCTAGGTGTATATAGTAGCCGTTAGCCACTGGGGTCATGACATCATATGACATCGTACCAGATGTACCAGCCATTGCCCCGCGCCTGGCAACTCCAGAACGCAGCCAAGGAATCCAACAAGGAGTTGGATGCTGAGTAGTTGGCTTGTCCTGGAGAGGTTGATCTGCGAAATCGGTTCCGAGGTCATTGAGTTCAGGGAGAACTCATCCATACCAACTTGTGGAATTATATAGATTGCATATGTCAATGGATTGGTTTAAGGGAAAATTCACAGGAAAGCCCCATACTTAATGGAAAAATCGATGGTTTCCTGTAGATTTTCCCTTAAACCAATCCATTGCATATGATATATGCAAGTTCATAACGACATATCCATGCATAAACACAATTCAACATCTGTGGGTGTCTCTGCTATGTATTTCATCAGAATTCATCATCTCTGCCAATGAAGAAGCTGCAGCCGCCTGGTGAGCCGAAGAGGGCTGAAGTCGACGAGAAGAGCAAGTGAGGCGCCGAGCGCTTGAAGTCCAAATGTCGTGAGAGGTGGAGCAATCCGTGGACCTCTGTAGCTGGCTTGAAGGGATCTGGATGGTGGCAAAAATGAGTGATAGATGTTGTATGATTTTGTATGCTTTTGTCGGGTTTGTGTCAGATTAATTCAGATTATATAGATGGATTTGATATGATTTGATGATGTGAACAAAGTGAATCTCACAACTTCAGAGTCTACACCTCTTCTAGTGCACTGTCAGGAAACTCATGTCTGAGGCATCCCGACTAAGGGCTACGACAGAAACTTCTTTTTGTTGTCAACGGAAACGCTGCGATTCTTAGGATTTGGACATGAAATTCATGGTGAAGCTCTGCAGAATTGAGACCTCAGATTTTGGGGAACCATTCCTGGTGTCCAAAAAATCTCATCCAGTCCCAGGGATTGGGAAACTTTGCAGCAACCCCCGACCTCCCAGGGTCCTCCCATCTTCAATCATTTCCTTTCAAGAAACAAGCAAAAATCAAAAACCAGGTGTAAAAACACAGATACTCTTCCTGCGGGTTTATCCACAGATGATCTTCCCACTAGATCCTCCATTTACCATCTGGTTATTTAACATAGCCATGGAACATGGTCCATTTATAGATGGTTTACCTATTAATAGCATGGTTATATTTTCCATGGCAAACTCTTAGGTTAAATAACCAGAGGGTTTTCCAGAGATTTTCCCATCAAAACCCATGGCTTTCCCAGCAACAAATCCCCAACCCATCCACCTTCGGGGCGTAGGATCGTTCCAAGCTCTCCAAGGTCAAACTGGGCAGCACTCCATCGGCCAGAACGCCAGCCAGGTGCATCAAAGCACCCAGCGGAGCGCCTGGGGTGTGGGCAAAACATGGTTTTCCCCAATAACAAACCACCCATGACCCGGTAGGTGGTTGAAAAACCACCTATATATTTATGGGTGATGATTGTTTTTTTTTTAATCTGGCCTTACCAAACAAAAATGGTATACTGATGTATACTGTGAAGTTTGAAGAGTCTACCAGCCCCACTCGATTCCTGGGTAAAAATGCTAGCCATTCAAAAAAAGGGCGCAGCTATCTCATGAAGAGCGACATTTTCGCGAATCCAAGAACCTCAAACAACTCAAAAATACTCGACCAGAAAAGTGATTTCCAATGCTCTTTGATAGCCCCCTTGTGGCATTTCCGATATGACAAACCCAATCACAAACCATGTCCCAATTTCCGCATCTTACAGGAGGTGGCTTCAAAAGCCGGCACCGAAAATCGCTTCGATGCTTCGAAGAGAGCAAGGGGATCACCAATGGCCGAAAATCGTTTCTTTTTGATTCATTTTGGGGGTACCCAATTTTCACTCATAATCCAAATAACCCCCAGTGGCAAGTTGCTTGATAGCCCATCTATAGGCGTATCCATCCCAAGTCCAAAAGTTAGCCTAGTTTCCAACCAATTTACCTATTGCGCAAGGGCCCCCTTCCTGTACCGAAACATGGGATTCATTATAGAATTCACCACATCAACACGAACCATTGAATGTCCCCATAGATAGCCTCCCAGGGCGTTGCGCAACGCCACCACCGAATCTTCCACACCTGGCGTAAAATGCGATGCTGTGGAGAAACAGGGTGACATGTGCAACCAGTTCCATAGAGAAAGGGGCGGAATATGGCAATCTTCCTCTACATCCTACATATAGTTTGTTTTACTATGTTTTACTACACCACTCTGGAGACTATCAAAATACCTAGCTTTAGCCGGTGTCTGAAGCATTGAAACCGCCTAAAGGGAGGGTAAAACTATGTGGCAGCTTTTCTCGGAGGTTGCCGGATCATCTCGGATCACTGGGAGCCCCTAGGCACGACCCAGTCCACCCGGGGCGGACGACCCAGGCACCCACGTCACACTTTTCGATGCGGAGGTCAATGTTGCACTTCTGGAGCCAAGCCCATTGAGGCCCAACGTCCTGCGGTCGGATGCACCTGGAGAATCCACGGATCGTATCTGGTTTGTACCCTCTGGTAATGACTAACATAGCTATGGAAAGATCCACCTTTTTTCATGGGAAAATCCACTATTTCTATGGCCATTTTCAATAGCTATGTTAGTTTACCGGAGGGCAACTGGGAATAGTTTATTATTGATTTCAACAAATATTCAAACCATTTGTCCGACCGATTTTAACATATGGATGCAACCCAGAAATCAGTCCTTGGCCGGTTGCCCGCTTCGGGACAGGAGGCACAAGTGCTTGGCTCCTTCCTGGCAGCAGAAGGATGTGGGTCTGTCAGGAAAACACATCAACATCAATGGACGGATTTACCAGCAAAATTCCTCCCTTAAAGTAATGACCAAAATCAACTAGAGTCACTTCTCCCATCATTTTTATCCACCCAATTAAAAGGGATGTTCTTTTTAGTGACACCACACTTGGTGCAGTTGCTTACTGGTACGATGGTAAAAAGTAGTAAGTATAACTTGGCCTCTTGTGCTGGTCATCTTTTCGTTTGCTAAATTATGTTCAATCACCATTGTCATGAACTCACTTTTTTCCATCTAAAATCTCACGGATTTCCACTTTTTAGTTGCTGACATCATTTCGCTTGGTTGCTATAGAGGCCTCAATTCACCCATGCGTGCAATGGTTAACACATGGTATATATGAGTCTTGCTCATCCTAGCATTCTTTAGAAGCCTCATAGTGGGCATGCTAATTGTAAGCCATATGAGTGGTGGTATGTCCATCCCTTCACGGGTCACCCACCTCTTGAGCATCCAGGGCTGCTTCTGAAATGGCTTATATAATCCCATCAATATTCAACGCACCCATGATATGGTCCCAAATATGTGTGTGTGTTTCCTACTAAACATACTAAACCATCATGGTTTTTGGAGGATGTTCAGTATTAGGGGAAAAGATTTAATGATGTAAACACACTTTGTCATTGGGCCTTTCGCCTATTTGAGAAGATTTAAAAGGAGCCCCCCAAAAAAATTGATTGCTGGGATGGTTTTTATGGGATAAGAATTGGGCCCCCATCTCTGCCAAACCCACATGTGCCGACACACAGCTCCCCCACAAAACCCAGGGGACCCCAGGGCCTCGACCAGGAAGGTGGCAGTGACCACACCCAAGGCACCCAGACCACCCGAAAGGAGCGGCATGGTCTCGGCATCACAGCCCAGGCCTTGGGGGATGACGCCTGGTGGCGCCTTGGGTGCCCTTGGGTGCCCTGGGGGTATGGGTCTCAAACATGAAGTATCAAGATATGTCCAAGTTATAAATATTGATAAATTTTGATGACCATCTCCCGATATGGGTCTAAAATCCAAGTGTCGAGCATGGTACATATTAGATGAATTATCACTGATGACTGGGGAAAACAGTCATCATCTCACATCCTGTGGCTTGACACCTTGGGAACATCAACCTGTCCACCATTCCTTCCTTTCAATCTTGGGATAGTCCGGGCTACGTTGGTTTCTGCATTTATGCAGCTATTTGCATACCTACAAAGTATTTTCGCGATATTGTCCAGAAGATCTCCAATGAGATCAATACACCTACAAGATATGCACACCTTCCATCTACCTGATGAAATCGGTTCTCGATTCAACAAACTGAAATATCTGAAATGAGGTTTCCCTTACAAAATCTTACTAACATTTACTAACCATCTACATCCGTCATCATCCATCACTACCCCATTTCAACATATTTCAACCATCCCCCCATGGCCCATCATGGCCCCAGGTACGACTGGGCGAGCTGATGACCACCTTGCCGATGTTGCTGGCGCGCTGCAGGAACTGCAAAGCAGCCACTCCGCGCTCCAAACCGTCGAAGAGGTGCCTGGGGATGGCGGGGATCTGGCCGGGCCAAGGCCATGGCTGGAGAGGATGGAAAAATGCCATAACAAATGCCATAAAAAATGGATGAGATTTCGAAATTAGGGAAAATCAAAACTGACACCCATCCTTTTTGCATGGTTTTGCCATCAAATACTGTGTTCTTTTTGCTTGAACGAATTTCCCGGAGCTGCTTTTTTTTGTATATGTTTTATCCAAAGACCCGTTATTTTTCAGCAAGATACATGTTGATCGGTTTCAGAGCCCCCTCGTCAACGCGCTGAAGCAATCGCTTCAGGTATGCGTTGTAGCGCCAGGGCTCCTGTACAGCAAGCCGCCCACCAAGCAGCAAACACATCACAGGGAAAAACACGCAGTGGAAAGATCATCGGTAGATCAGCAACAAGCTCCAAAACAAGAAAAAACAACAGCATTTCTCCCAGGTAGCCAAGAATTCGCGTATAGTTCATAAAACACATAATTCATATACTTCATTATAATTATATAGAATCATACAAACATAAATATAATCCTCCCGAGAAATTCGGACCACTTCCCAGAATATCACACCATCGTCCATTGGTGAGGGAATCCAGCCGTCCTTCTCCATCATCGTGTCAGCTGCAATCTTTTCATACATCACATCTGGACCTTGGGGATGCTTTTTGTGGAACGATTTCTGAACGATACGAACGATACCCTCTGGTAAACTAACATAACTATGGAAAATCACCATTTTCAATGGGTAAATCCACTACAAATGTACCATTTTCAATAGCTATGTTAAATTACCAGAGGGTACTTGGTAGTGGCAAATATGCTCATTGTACGCAAGGGACCGAAAGGTTACATCCACACTCAAAAGCAACGAAATGCTGCGAGCGCAAACCTTCCCCGAAGCTCGACCAATCTCAGGCGAGGAACGTGCTTCGAACATCCTGAGCAGGGCAGTGATTCACGACATTCAAGGACCAAGTCTGCAACAAGGCTCGGGACTGTAGCTGATGTTCATTGCTCAAGAGGAATGGCCTGTGCTGCTGAGGATCTGTTGGTGGCTCCAAATGCCCCTCTTGCCAATCTCCACGAAACGACCACCAGGCTTCAGCAAGGCCAGAGAACGGCCGATGTAGTCGTCATGACCTGGCAACCGCGGCAGCCACATGCCATTCCTATCCATTCCTAATAAGTTCCTCCTAGATCCGAGCAGTAAATTCCAAACTTCGGGGACTCAAGTTGGGACCAAACATATGGCAGTGTGTCAAAACCTTGTACCCCTGGTGAACATCAAAATAGCTGGGATTTATGGATGTTCAATAGGTATTGATCCATACCCATATCTAAACTTGGAATTTCCATGGAATTTCCAAAGTTGGATCCATCTTTTTGGACAGCCAGGTTGCTGAGACTGTTGAGCACCACATCGATGCCATCTGCGCCCTGTTCCTGGCTGAGTTTATGTGGGTAAAGCATATAGAAGTGTATGTGAGTTTTAGCGCAGTATATTATGATATGGGGATGGGTCAAAACCTATAGTATTACCATGTTTTGGAGGAATAAACATCAATAAACCAACTTAGGGTACCATCCGGGTACCAGGGTTTTGACTCATAGCCATATGTGCGAGATAGTCATTTGTGTAAGTGTATATGTGTATATTATTATATAATTGTATGTTAACATTATATAATGCATACAGTATGTATGGGCACCCAAGCCAATGGCACTGATCTCCAACTTTCTCATGCCACCAAAATTTGGTAGCTGCAAGGAGCAACTATGGTTGGGGTTCAAGCCAAAGAGCCCTCTGAAATTGATCCTTACCTTCAATTGACATCAATTGACCCTGCAGGTGCTGTCACTCCTTCAGGAAGTTCTTCATGTCCTCCTCAAATTTGTTGCCATTGCGGCTGCTGGTAATGTACTTGACCTCAGTGGCTCAAGGGTCAGCCCCTTCACACTCTTAGATCTACTTCCCGTGTTCAGGTAGTGGTGGCCTGCTTCTATTTCACCAGGGTCGAGCTGTAACACTCCTTCCTTGCACCAAGGAACTCCCAAACTCCTCAAGAATTCGTGCTTTTCTTCTGCGCCAGCTGTTGCGTATACCTCTGCACCAATGAACTTGGCATACCTGCAGGCTCACGCTGCGGCCAGATCATATATTCACCAAGGGTCCATGGCGGTCAAACTATGCGCCTACTATTGAGGCTGGATCAGAAAATAGGACAGTTCCAATGGAATGAACATAGGACGGCCCAAAGAGGATCAACGGAGCTATCAGCATAGAATGGAAGGGACCAAAACCTCATCAAGAATAGAAGATCTCACGGACTGTCGAGTACAATTATTGCAAGCATCAACACACACACATGATCACAGATGTAAAAATCATGTATTATCATGTATTATCATGGAATTAATCATGTATATATAATCATATCTATCCATCTATCTATCCATCTATCCATCCATCCACCTATCTATCTACCTCTCTCTCTCTATATATATATGATATACCCTCGTCGCAGCCAGGTCGCTGGATGGCCACCAAACCAACGCCACCAGCTGCGGCGTGGATCAGCACGCGCTCCTTGGGCTTCAACTTGGCCAGGTCGCCTAGGGCCTGCGGCAGATGCGGGGAGTTTCATGGGTTTCAATGGTTTTTTAATGGTTTTTTAACGGGCTTTGGGGGGGATTTATACATCTTTAGTTGAGATTCAAAATGATTGAGCGTGAATCATGTGAACCCAATCAACCCTACCATTTGAGGACAATTGTTGCCACCACTTTATAGTGATATTGGAGACCGTTTATCGTTGGGTTTGCCACAGAAGTACTAGAACTTACCATGGATTTAGACATCTTTTAGTTGATCTTGACTTTAGACATCCTCCAAACACAAATACAAGATCTAGAGTCTATATTCATGTTGCGCATTCTGACGGAAACAACATTGAAGATATTTTCCGAAAAACATGGATCCGGACATTGCTGTAGCATTGAAAAGAACCACCAAGGGGCTGGAGACATTCGGAGCTGTGGGCTCTGCTCACACGAAGTTCGTATTTTCAGAATGACTGTTGGAGATCAATCATCCTGAATCAAAAAAATCAGCAACATTCGTAACAAAGAGGAAGTATCTGAAACTATCTTCTGGGCCATTTCCCAGGTCCAACTTAAACATCAACAAACAAGGTCTACCAACCCAGGATGTCCAGTCGGATTTGATGTCGCCTCCTCCACGGTCACGAAGATCACAGGCATGCAACAGGCCTGGAAGCAATGTTTGAAACCAGGAACCAATTCATCAACACTTCTCCACTTCTTTGAAAGATTTTGAACCATACTCCGCCCCAAGCATGTTCAACAATTCTAAAACGTGGTTCGTAGCAAATGATAAATGAACTCTTTTCATCCTTTTCCCACCGCAATCTAGCTTGTAGTGGTTCTTTCTCCACATGAAACGCACAGGATCTCCCAAGCCGATGGCGACATATCCATTTTTGAAAGTAGTATCCCATTATCCCTGTTTCTGCCGGACGTATCGCATTCTTGATGCTGGCATTCGGATCATTCTTCTTTACATCATCATGTTTGGGTCGATTTTATCACCGTGTTTCTCTTTCACATGTTTTTCAGAGAACTTGATGTGTCCCTTGATTCTCTTATCATTTCTGATGGTTTCTTCCCGTCTTTCATGATTCAACCCCCCATTTTGGCCCCCATGAATTTCTCCAAGTTACCAGCTTGGCACATCACGTGGGAACTTCAAAAAATGGTATCCCCCAAATCATTTCCAAAATCCAAAATGCTGATTTCAAGCATGTTCAAACTATCCAATTTTTGGAAAAGCCATCGAACACCTATGGAAAAACCCATCGAAAACCGTGGCTTCGATGCCAGTAGCTCGCCTCCTCATAGCTCCAAGAGCTTGGCTTCTGCGTCAGCAAGGCAGCGGAGCTGGTGTTGTAGGTGCTCAAGCCTGGGAGATACCGGCGCTGAAGCGCTGAAGTCTCAAACCATGGGGGCCTACCCTCTGGTTGTGTCAAAACAGCTATTGAACATTGCCATTTATAGTTGAATTACCCATACAAAATGGTGATTTTCAATAGTTATGGGGGACCTACTCATCATGATGGGTTTTGGCCCTCCAAAATATGGAGGTTTAAATTTTGAACATTTTTGAACCATCAATGATCATCAAACAAGGGGGGTTGAGGAAATTCAACTGGGTGTGCTAATCAATAGATATCAATGGACAGTTCTTGCGGTAGACAATATAGAGGTAAACACACTGTACATAACATGTCCCATCGGCCAATATTGGAGAAAATTCTATATCCCCCCACCAAGTATCATTTATGATGACCTCGTTGAAAGGTTGCTATTGTTTACCCAAATGGTCCTAGATTGGCTATCATTTTTCATCGGTAAGTTATCGAGCTAAATAGGCCATCCCAGCAAACCGTAACAAATTGGGTATGTGGGATGAACTTACCAACTGTATTACTATATATCCGAATATCCCCAATTGCTGGTTCATGTCCCTCAAAATCTGGTAATATTGGTAATGAAGGCCCCAACCCCCATCCCCATTGTTGAGTGTTAACTCCCATTCAATCCCATGATAAATCCTAGTGAAATCAAAGTAAAATCCCATTAAGTCCCATGAAAATCCCCAATGATATCCATGAAAATTCCATGAAATTTTCCCAAAAAATCCCCAATGAGATCCTTAATGAAGGCCCCATCCCTCGGTCCCTCGGTGCCCTCGGTCAGGCCACACCCCGGTGACTCGCCAAAGACGTCGTCGGCCAAGTGCAGATGCTTCACGCTGTCGCCCAGACCCAGCACCGTAGCGCCGCAGTCGGCGCCCGGTGGGCCCGGGTCGCCCGGGTAGAGACCCATGACCTCTCTGCGAAGATGGAGATGGAGAAGGAACCATCCATGGATACCCTCTGGTAAACTAACATAACTATGGAAAATCACAATTTTTGATGGGAAAATCCACTATAAATGGTCATTTTCAATAGCTATGTTAAATTACCAGAGGGTATATGGTTCATATATGGAATGGATCATATAGGAACCATATATGATATATGAATCTATGGAATAGGGTGGAACATTAATATGAACATATTCCTGGAATGAATGGAAAAGACATAGATGGAATGTGTATATTTATGGATCATATTAATGGAATTTGTATGGAACATCTTTGGCAAAACAGTCAGATGGAACAAACAAACTTGAAAACACGGATGATATATGACGATATATTTCATCATTCCCTCATCATTCATCTAAGATGTGAAAGACAGGGAAAGACATGGCAGAGAAGAACAACCATGCATTCCCAGTAGGGAGGTCACCAGCAACATAGAGCGGCTAACATTCACCAAAGCTGTGGTGTGGCATTTGGAGATTTCACCAATGACGGCTGCAGTCATATAGTCTATTTTTGGCCCCCGACCCCAGTCTTCATCATCCCCTCTGCAGCAGCAGGTCCCAGTGGTGACGCATTTTTTCTACATCATTGTACATCTACCATTTTTTGTTTTTTTGTACGTGACATTCTTATTTTTCATTTCCCCAACATCCACAAGCCACCCCATGCCAGCCATGATTACTTTTTCTTCCATATATGACTTTATATGACCTCCTTTTGTTGGTCATACTGCGAAATGACAGAAAACTTGGATAATTAGTGAATGAACATCATCGTGATCACAAACGCAATTTAAACAATCTATTAATATCTATTAAATCTATTGTACATACAATATCATACAATATTATATTATATTAAATTACATTACATTATATTACAAACACATTACCTGTACCTTCAACAAAAACCCAACCAAACATCCTTCCCCATCAATGGCAGGTGGCATTCAGCACATCTCGGAAGTTCAGCCCCACGGCGCGGATCCTGAGCTGTGCCGCGTTGGGCGCCGGCGTGGCCGTCTTCGCCGTGTCCGCCTGTGGCACGCAGCGCAGGCCCGTGAGCGAGCCGCGTGCCGGCATGTTGAGCCGCAGGGCGCCGGTGTATTTCACCGCGGAACGCGCCAACCTGCGATCTTTTCAGTTGGGGGAGGGAAGGAAGTCTGGTGACTTGATTGAAAAACATGTTTTAATATGTTTTTAATGACTGTTTGATGTTTTTTTTTGGGCGGTTGGCGGTCTTTGATTCCTGGATTTGGGATGGTTTTTGGGATCGGCAATACTTGCAGTACCTGAAACTTGCGATGTCTTCGAGGCATTCCGAACACAGTAGGCGCTGCCAATGGAAACGAGAACATCACATGATAATATCGTACAGAAAATGTATACTGTATACTGTATAACACGGTCACACTATAAGAGTGTCGTTGCCCACAATTAGTATCCACAATGCAAGGTGTTATAGAGTCAAAAGTCACATCGCGGGACAAGAGCGAGCAAACTCCTTCTTCGAGGAGATTCAAATCACACGGATGAGCATCCGACCAGGTGTGACACTTACTGTGATGCTGGCCGGCTTTCCATATCTCTGGCTACATAGATCTACTAGTTTGTTCATGTTTGTTCTCTTGAATTGTTTCGGAGAGGTAATATCTTGTTGCATGTGGTTAGCACCCGCAATGCCATGCAGTCACATTGCGGGCCAATATAGCAAGCAAGCCCGGTTTTCCGACTTTCTTTACAGTCATTGAGCATTAACAGCTCAAGACTGAGTATCAGGCCGGCTTTGACGCAATTTCCAAGAATGGAAAGTCTTGTTGCGCGCGGGTAGCACCCGCAATGCCATGCAGTCACATTGCGGGCCAATAGAGCAAGCAAGCCCGGTTTTCCGACTTTCTTTACAGTCATTGAGCATTAACAGCTCAAGACTGAGTATCAGGCCGGCTTTGACGCAATTTCCAAGAATGGAAAGTCTTGTTGCGCGCGGTTAGCACCCGCAATGCCATGCAGTCACATTGCGGGCCAATAGAGCAAGCAAGCCCGGTTTTCCGACTTTCTTTACAGTCATTGAGCATTAACAGCTCAAGACTGAGTATCAGGCCGGCTTTGACGCAATTTCCAAGAATGGAAAGTCTTGTTGCGCGCGGTTAGCACCCGCAATGCCATGCAGTCACATTGCGGGCCAATAGAGCAAGCAAGCCCGGTTTTCCGACTTTCTTTACAGCCATTGAGCACAAACAGCTCAAGACTGAGTATCAGGCCGGCTTTGACGTTGCTTGATTCATAAGGCACTGGGACAACGGCAAGCTTCGGACTGCACATCTTCAATCTATCGTGATCCCATCGGTCTGACCTGTTGACCGTTCCTGGATAGAATCTGACCATGGTCCATGGTTCGGTCGACATTTTGCCGCCACGATGCGAGCCACCATTTTCAACCATCTCAGTTATTCCTGGAAACCGCAACATCTGCAGCTTTTCCTGAAAGTTTATTATAAATAAACACTATCAACCCATCTCAACCACTTTTTACAAACATCCTTCTCCCATTTGGAGGTTTCCAAAGTCACCAGGTTCTCATCCATTTTCTTTTTGGGATTTCCCCATGAGATTAGCCCATCATCCAGCTATTGGGGTAGCCCCTATGACCCCTACCCTCTGGTAATTTAACATAGCTATTGAAATTTGCAATTTATAGTTGAATTACCCATACAAAATGGTGATTTTCCATAGTTATGGGGGACCTACTCATCATGATGGGTATGTTAAAAATGGTGATTTTCCATAGTTTTTTGTATGTTTACCAGGCCGGGTATGACTTAGGAAGCCCTGAGGCCTGGCAGTTTTGGCTTCACCCCGCAGCGCCAGCTCCTCTTCGTTGCCCAACGCCGGCAGGGCTTCGGCCAGCTGCGACCAAGCGGAGGCCGTACCCTACGGCCATGGAGAATGCAGGAGGAATGGAACTTTGGATGATGTTTTCTACATTTATGGGACACGTATGTATAATATAATTGTGCAATAATATATACGTATATATATATATAATATATATATATAATGATATAAATTATATATAAATATACACAGTCACATAGGTATAATCGGTATAATGTACCATGACGGAATTGAAACTATATACTATCTTTCTGGCATATGGAACTATAGGATTTCTTGTGAACCAACAGTTGATATGGATGATTGCAAGATTTTTGATAGGCAGAAGCTAAGCCACAAGAGAAACGCGGGTGTTTTTGGATTGAACATCTCCAGTGGGTGGCTGTGAGTCCTGCTGTGTTTTTTTCCAAGTCCCTGATTTCATGGGTCATCTCATTTCAATTGTGTCAACATCATTGTTGTTAATCAGCTTCCAACTCCGAAACAACAACAGTCGACGGGGCAAAGGAACTCTTGAAGAGTTAAGATGTATGTGCATTCAAAACTTCCGATGGCACCCCCATCTTCTGTTCTCTGTTCTCCTTTCAGCCGATAGATTCCGATAGATGCTGGTTTTCACCCTGAGATACTGCAGATCATAATACTATCCGTCAAAGGGGATCACCATCTTCAGTCTTCTTCAGTCAAACAGATGTGGAATTGGCTACTTTTTGAAGTTGGATAATGAACACTGAACATTAAACATGACCCAAATTTGAGGTTCTTGAGATCTGCAAATAATGGGTCCGAGCCATTCCTGCAGCCCTTCCCTGGGTGTTCTTGCCACCTTAGAGGCATCCAAGTCCACACAAGTGACGCGGAGTGTGCCTGCAGGTTGCAGGTGATCCACGCTCAGAAGCCACAAATTTGTTGGAAAAGCAATAGGATCCAAGATCCCCAAATTTACAGAAATTTACCATTTTTTGGGTGCTATAAACCATCACAATATCGGTTTATTGCTGCATCAAAGTATGCTTTAGTAACCTTACTGGAGCTTCTGAGTATAGATTCGTTGTACATAATCGTCCGGTGGTGGATGAATCCAATCGCTTCGAGAGCTTTTCTGTCAGTGATGCACCCTGAATCAAGAAGTGTTGGCAGATGTTGGCATAAAACATCAACCCACCTGCATTCAACAGGACTGCTTGGTGGATGCTGGTGCAATGGGACAGGGGTTTCATCATCCTTGGTAGGGAGAAATATATACAAGGGTCAACCATATTCAAGAATCATTGGAACAATCCGCCAGGCTTTTAACACCTTTTAACTGAAATTTGGGTTATCTGAAAACGGGAGATCATCATTTTCCTTAAGATATACAAAAAATGCTATCATTTTGAGACCTAGCCATTTCCACAAACCTGGCCTGGGTATTCCATGCGCACCGCGCGTGCGAAGCCCCACAGACCGCTGTGGTCTGGCAGGCCTCGGGGGATCTAGTGGGATCTTCTGAGTATATCAAGGGTATCAACTGGGGTCATGCGGATGGGAACCCACCTTACCCTCTGGTTATGACTAACATAGCTATTGAAAATGACCATAGAAATAGTGGATTTTCCCATTGAACATGGTGGATCTTTCCATAGTTATGTGACAGTTTACCAGAGGGTAGTATCCTCAGTTGGGTAAAGAATCAAACGGTTTGCACCTGTTCCAATTGTATCAGTCGGTTGCGGGGGGAATCATCAACCTCTCACAGCGGCCTCTGGGGCTGCCAAGCTGCTAATCTCCGATATTTTGAAAGGTAGTCATGGCGTTAAGTAAAACATCCAATTCTTGTGGCAACATCCAGGCAGTCATGTGGCAACTGAGATCTTTGATGATCTTTAATTACTTTTGTTCTCCCAAAAATAGCTGTTGGTGGTTTCAACCCATCTGAAACATCTGAAAACTATGAATGCCATTGGGGATCATCATTCCCATTCCCATGGTTGAACATCATTCTCTTATTCAAACAAAAATACCAACCAGAGAATCATTGGTTATTACAGCCATAATCTACCCAGCCATAATCCCTGGGTTGATGCTTCAATCCCCCCTTTCCTGGGCCGCGCCTGCGCCACGTTGCGCCGCATCCTCCGAGGCCAGCGGCTGAGCGCCCCAGGTGGGGAAGACCAGCAGGGGCCCTGTGGCACCCATCTTGGCGATGACCTGCTGGTGACACATGGGGATTTTTCTGGGGGATTGATGGGATTTTTTTTCATGACATTTCATAGGGATTTCATGGGGATGAGTCATTTAATTTTTAATGGGATTTTATTACCCATTGGGGACACATGACATTTATTGAAATTTGGCGTTTCGAAAGGACATTCTGTTGGAAACCAAAGCAACAACTTGCCGTTTTTGGAGCTTGTTGCAGCCTTTTGATTGAACTGGGTTAGAGATGGTTGGAGAGGGGTGATGTTCGGCTTTCACTTCACATTCAATGTGCACTCTGGCTGAATCTTGCTGCCCTGCCTAGGGTCCACAACTTCAACTCTTCCCTGGGGTTGTCAATTCTCCCAAGCTTTGGCGGCAAGGAAACTCTAGCTGGTTGGTGGTTTCACTGCCCTGAAACAACTATGAAAGCGAATCCGTCATCCCTTTGTTGTGATGCACACAGCAAGCTCCAAGTCAGAATGGGTTGATATCCCCATTTTCACCACTTCTACCACATTTTTGGTGCTGCTGCATCCATGTTTTGGGGTTCCTTCAACCCGATACCCCTTCAGCCAATATGGGGAAAACCTTCAAGGTCTGGGCAAACGGCCCTCAACTGCTCGGCACCTTGGTCAAGAGCATAGCTCGATTCAACACCGCCACATCCGCTTGCTCGCCACCTGCGGTGCTAGATGTGCACATCCCAATGACTTGAAACCCACTGGAAATGGATGGAAACGGGATATGCGGCATACCTCAAAATGGCGATTTTCATGGGAAGAATGAGTTTTCCAAACCCACTGGAGTAGGAAGGTTAGGAGTTTTTCATAGTTTTCCCAAGACCATGGACCAAATGAATGGAGTTCTCAAAATTTCGAACCCAATTCCATCCAAGGTATAGCCAGAAAACATATCCCATAAAGTGGTGAGCCCACCTTGTTGCCGAAGTTGCTTTGTTGGTGACTTAAGTAAGGTTTATATTAGATAAATCTACAGTCAACAGGCCTCATAAACAAACAAACATCACCGGGGTACGGCACCTTGCATGATATCATCTTTATATCCCAGTTTTCAGTAGTTCAATTCACCACTCACTGATGGTTTCCATTCCATCCCCATGATTTCTGCATTAAAAAAGTGGCTTGAATTGGTGTAATACAATCATTTTGGCTTAACCATGCACATCCTATCTCCATGATCTCTCCTTTTTTCCTTGTGAAATCTCCATTTTCCCTGGTTAAATCAGCCAGTGAAATCAACATCCCACCCCCACCTGGCAAGGCGGCGGACTCGGGCTTGGAACTCCAGGCGCTTGAGGTCAAGAGACCATCAGCCAGGATGACCTGGGGAGTGTTTTTTTTTTTTTTTAAAGGACCTTTTTAGGGAAAATCCGACTAAAAATAGTGAGAAATTATGATACATGATATACTTTCCTATCTTTTTGAATTATAGACTTTCCTAATCTTTCCAATCTTTTTGGTGGTTTACCATGTTTATATAATTATATATGTATATATATATATATAAATCTAATCCACACACATATGTAGATCGAATCATATTTAATCTGTAAACATTTCGGCGAAAGCGGGAATTAGCCATGGCACTACGGGATTGGAAGACTAGCTTCCTCTCGGTATGGGGCAATTCTCAGGGTCTATGGGCAGCCGGTCCAATTGCCAAAAGCGGAAGCACCGCATGTTAGTTTGGGGGATGGTAATGTTTTGAATATGGGAATTTTGTGAGTACATGGTGTCATTGTTTTGTGTGAAATTCTACGGGAAACCATTGTTCTTCTCATCAATTATAGGGTTGAACCGGGTAATTCTTCCCGTAAGCATCCTTTTTCACCGGTTCCAGGTCCCATCAAACGAAAAAACAGGGACTTGGAATCTTCATAGCCAGGGACGCTACTTCTTAGACGGCGAATTTATTTTTGCTACAATACCAATTATATGGAGGTTTCCTAAAATGCGGGTACCCCCAAATCATCCAAAATAAGACCATTAGTATTGAAACTTTTTTTGGGGGGGATTCCCCATTTTATATTTTGGGAACCCTCCATATAATATAATCTTTTGAAATGTAGGGCTTATCCTTCATCTTAATCCAATGTTGATATCTTACTGATCTGGTTGACTCCCAGCCAAGATGCTGGACCCTAACGAACGGTTTTTTTGCGAATCGACCATTGCCATGATCCAGACTTGAATGATTGCCATCACCATAATCACCATTCACAACATTTGGGTTTGTCTGAAAATAGTGTACCCCTAAACCCAATGGTTAATGATCATTATCCCTATTAAATGGCTATAATTGGGAATATACCCTATTTTCAGACAAACCCATTTTGCAAGATTTTCATCTGCGGTGCCTGGAAGTAAACAACCACAGAACTTGGGCCACTTGGGAATGGATTCCAAAGAATGACCAGCCGATCCAGCCCTTAAAATCAAGGTCAGGAAACCTTTGACCATGTCTCCGATTGCAACAGCTGTCGGAGCGCCTGCAGACCAAGCGCAAGTAGAGAAACACATCACATGCCCCCTGATGTCATCAAACATGATTACAGTATTTGAACATGCCCTATACATGGAGGTTTATTGCTAAGAAAACTATCGAACTAATGATGATTTTCCAACCACCCATGTTTGATGACAGTGGAGGGTAGTCAAATCAGCTGTGGTTCTACAGAGTCTCACAAGAAATGTCCAGTCTGTCAATGGGTACAACCTAATTACCTCCAGTAATTTAACATAGCCATGGAAAATGGACCATTTATAGATGATTTACCCATTAAAAATGGTGATTTTCCATAGTTATGTGACAGTTTACCAGAGGGTCCCCAGGATCTGGTCTTTTGCATTTTCAGGTGACAAGAAATGCCAAGAGACTTAACCCCTTTTCGGATCTCCCGTTCATGATTCAGCTGCATGTCAGTTTGCAGCGATCCCAAACATGAAAACAATGGATGACACGTTGGGTATTTATCCACTCAAGTTTTGCCTGTAAACAGGCTGGATCACCACCACTTCTTGTGATTCATGCCAGTTGCATCCTGCTGATTCATCGTAATGTCCCAATCCTTTTCGGGAGTACCGTTTGTTGCCTATATCACCTTCCGATTTTTGACATGAATATTCCGCATATGAGTATGAGTCACAACTCTACAAATGGGATGAGTAGCACTAAGAATGCCAACATCTGTGACTTCCGTTGATGAACATTGAACATCAACATCTTGATTGGTTCAACCATGTCAAATCTACATCGGTCAAATCGTGTCACTGCCCCTCTGCTGCACATTTCCCCCATGGGTCGGTCTGAAATGCGGTAGCCCACAAATGTTGTGGTTGATCATCCTTTTCCCGATGAAAACATCCATAAAATGGGGTCTGATCCTACTTTTGGACAAACCCAGATCATACAAACATGGTTATAGTATGTTATAGTATATCCGCATCTTATCACCATTTTATCCCAGTTTTGTCCCAGTGTATGATTAGTTCCAATTAAACCCCCTGTTTATTGCTCACATTCCCGTTGTATCCCCACAAAAACGATCGGTGCCCAACTAAGTTATAACCGCCATAAAACATCATAAAACATCATAAAACAAACATCATAAAACACACATCATAAAACAAACATCATAAAACAAACATCATAAAACAAACAATCAGGCTAACCTCATAGATTTCCCCCTGACAGTCCGACACCTCTTCCTCCATGGGCATCTCTTCGCTTCGCAGGCCCTTCGCATCCAGCTGACGCAGGGCGGCCTGGCTGCCCAGCAGCAGCTGAGCGCCTGAAGCCTGGAGGAGCGCAGGCGCCACAAGTGATGTACCCTCTGGTAAACTAACATAGCTATGGAAAATCACCATGTTTAATGGGAAAACTCACTATAAATGGCCATTTTTCAATAGCTATGTTAGTTTACCAGAGGGTAACTGGTGGATTAAAACATCAAACATTGGAACATCTTCCACCTGGAAACTGGGGATATAACTAGGATTTTTTTTTTGGACAATGGGGAGAAATCGAAAATCCATACATCAAACATGGGGATTTAACCACCAACATCTAGGTCATAGGGATATCACGGGATGGTTGCAGATGACGAAGGCCACAGGATTTCTTGGGTATTGTAGTCTCAGACAAAGCCAAAGCTGTAAAGTATTACCCTCTGGTTATGACATTCACAGTTTGCCATGGAAAGATCCACCCATTTTTAAGTTCGGTAAACCATCTATTTCGATTAGGGCCATCGAAAAACCATGGCTATGTTAAATACCCAGAGGGTATAATGTATGATATACTGTAGGTCATATGATGTCATATGGTCAATGTTCGGGTGGAATCATGAGCCCAAGAAATGATCAAGACATGGCCCCCAGTTCCAATTGTATAATCCCAGTGTGGGGTACTTCTGAAGTGAACAAAACCATCTATACATACAGTAATATATATAACTATGACCGGTAGGAGGCCCGTACTGAAGAGCAATCGATTTGTCTCTGGTATTTCTCCTGCACTTTCCTCCAAATCAGCAACTTTTATCCAGAAAACCAACTGGTGTTGGGTGTGCAGACTGTCTTCAACACATCTTAACGCTTAGAAATATATCACAGTCCAAAGAGATCTAAATAGTTGGTACCCAGAATGGACAAAGTTGACGACTGAAACAGACCCCCAATTGCGGAAATCGGTTTGCGTGAGTCCTCGGCCTTGAAGACCCAAAGACCGAGAACTCCCTGAAAAACTCGACCCCCACAACTGTTGGCGCCCCCGAACCTGGCTGCTCAGTTCACTTTCGCGCCAGAGCACGTCATAAAGCCTGGGAAATCAAAGAGGACCCCGCCAAGGGATTTGCGTCAAGTCATGGCTATGGGCAAATGAGAATACACCAGAACCATAAACCATTGGACCATCCAAAATGAGTAATGTTTGATATTGTTTAGTGGATAAAAATCAATGGTTGTGGGGTCAGCCATTTTAGGTCCCCAAGTATTACGGTGCTTTTCTCAAACTGCGTGGCGGCTGAGCCACCCAGCCCCAACTTTTCTCCAAACATGTGAAAATCAATTGGACAATAGCATGGGTTTGCATGACACTAGGGTGCCCAATATAATACAATATCCAACCACACCTTTCATACATGAAAACAACATATTATATATATACATAATCATATGTATATATATATATACACAGTATATTTACTCAAGTGGTCATCTTCCGCAGGACTTCAGCCAAGTAACATTTGCTGCTCTGCGCCCTGACGACCAGAGGCTTGCAAGACCTTTTGAATGTGTTCGTCACCTCAGGAGCTGCTAGGCTGGCCGGTGGGCAAGGCTCTGGCCAAGGACTGGGAAGGACTGGAAGGCCAGGTGGGCCTGTTTTCCTCACTATGGGTTATCATAATCGCCATTCAATTAGGTAGTGTAAGTCCCTATACCAACCAATCAACCAGGTTTGTTTAATGGCTCAACTAACCCTCAGGGTTTTTTAATGGCTCAACTAACCCTCAAAGATGCCAATCCATTTCAGGCATCCCAAAGCCTTCCAACATCTTCCAACCCTTGGGTGTCGGACGGACTTCCTGCAGGTGCACATGGTCGAAGTAGAGCAGTGCCTCACCTGTCGTTGCTGGTTGGCACTGTGATGTTGGATCCCCCTGGTGATGTTGTTCCCATTCAACGGAGATGTCACGAGATGTCCCGTCCCGAGCCTGCATCGTTCAAGAGCCAGGAACGGAACACAGTGCTCTTGTCCTCAGTTCAACTTGGAGATGGCTTCAATGGGGAAAGTGAGAATAACAACCACCAGATGCTAAGGCGGGTCATTTTTGGAGAAAGCCCACATCGAAAACTAGAAAAACCACACTGAAGCCCCGCCAGGTAGCGGTGAAATCAATCAACTGGAAGTAGGACCACACCGCAATCGAGTACCTCGCCATGCTGGGGACCTGGAGACCCAACACCTACACCTCCCGAAACAAATCGTAAAGCATCTGGAGATTCAAGCTCATGCACGTCTCTCTGCCATGTTGCTTCCAAGTCCTGAAACTAGCAAGGTGTATTTGAACCGATTCATTTGCTTTTGCCCTCGGCTTTATAATCTTTATATAAGTCATCTTGCTCAATTCCCCAGCTCGCAAAGGAAAGAAAACGTCAAGTTTCGTGGCATTTCAGCAATAGGTACTTCCATTGGTTTAGTCTACGGGTATGGGTCAAAATTCAAACACATGCTTCTTTTAACATCTGATCTCTAGCATTGACTCTCAAATGATTGGGTTCGATCCGTTCCCGTAATATGAATTTGTATTGATGATATGGCTCAAATATATTCACATATCCCCTACCAAGCTTGGTATCTTATTAATTCATGGCACGTGTGACTATGATCACCTACCATGCCCTTGAGTTCATGACAAAGGGTAACCTGACCCAGCCAGTCGCTGCGCACTTGCGTCCGCAAGGTTGCAATCTTCGGATCGACAGTGGGATCTTCAGTGTGCCTAGGTTGGGACGTGCGGGGACGTTGCACTGCCTCGCTGTTGAAGGGATAACATATGACCAATTGGGATGTGCTGAAATAGGTCTGCACCAACATCCAAAGTACATGTCACAAAAGGCACACATGGTGTAGGGATGTATAGAATAGACGCTGGATGTCAAGAATAGCAAGCAATAAAAACTGCTTTGGGAGTTTGTTTGGGAGTGGGCAGCTTTTTGATCCATCAATCTTTTCGGCGTTGTAATGTTGGTCCAGCAGGCTACAGTGTGTCATATAATTGCTCATAATTGATGGTACTTGTTGGTTGCACATCGCTGTGCATACGTATCCGCATTCATACTCATTCAAATGCAGGTCCCCACTTCATGTGCAGCTGCGCTCACCATACCTCCATGTATATTCAAATTATCATATGCTATATCTGGTGGCTAACTGAAACGTTGAATGCCACCATACAAACTCTGGTATGGTACTCCTTTTTTGGGCCAATTTACATACAGGAATTTCACCTAAAGGGATTATAACGTATTGCCTCATAGATACACATTACACATATACATCTACTATGTCATATTACAATATTGCACATGGTATACATTTTAAAATATAATGTATCATGTATCTTAAGATTATATGTATAACACATCCCTCTTTTTTCTCTCCATATTTATATAGACACCAATGTTGTAATATATCACAGATACTTACATCATACCTCGGCTACAACTGCCACATCTGTTTCCCATGCCGGGGTTCCAATGCCAACGGCAGCATCTGCCAGGGCCATAGACGCTTGGAAGGAGCCATCGATCAATGATGGACCCAGCCAGAAACCTGGCAAAATGCTATTGGATATTTTTGGGGCTAGATTAACCCATGAACATGCTATGAACCACCTGGATCATTCCCAAAAATGCATAAACATGTGGGAGACCACAAGTATCCACAAGTTATGGCAATGTGAAAAAAATTGGTCAATAACTGGTGTGATAGGCTCGACCCATTCCCAAGAATAATGGTAAAATTGGTTCATCTTGCCATGTGGTGCTGAAATACAGTAAATAAATCATCAAACTATCAACCAAACAACGGAATATCATGTAGTGATACAACCAAAGAGAATCAAGAAAAATTGGGTGCCTCAGAGTGCGTTCGATTTATCCGGCTGAGTTTACCAAACATCTGAAGATTTATGTGTCTTGAGTCTTGAATCCCTACTCATACCCATTTGTCGTGCCATTGAGGGAATGGCAAGCGGACACCTACTTGCTCTGTCTTGTTTGGAAGTCTTTGAAGACGAATCACCTCCTGGACTAGAATGTGATCTCATGGTTTTGAGGTTTGCCCAGCAAAACCATCATTCTTGTTAGTTTAACCACCATTTTGGCTGGTTAAACCCCTTAAATCCCTATGTTTGTTGGTGATTCGTCCTCCCTGGGCGCGTTGCGCCTTGCTGCGTGCCGTCACGCTCCATCTCCAATCGACCAAACGACTCCTGATCGCCTGGGAAGATTTGGTGGAACTCCACTTGGGCAAGTCAAATATGAGCCCATTTGGGAATGCTCACACTTACTGATCCTCATACATACACACACACATATATATATGCACGTCTATATCTATCTACCTATCTACCTATCTACCTATCTACCTATCTACCTATCTACCTATCTACCTATCTACCTATCTACCTATCTACCTATCTACCTACCTTCCTACCTACCTTCCTACCTACCTACCTACCAACCTACCTCCCTACCTACCTACCTACCTACCTATCTATCTATCTATCTATTTTATACACACATATCTACATATCTACATCTGTATATATATATAAGATATACATCTATACACTTTGGATGCACATTCAAAAAGCATGAATGCCACAAAAAATCAGTCCCGCCTTTCTGCACATGTCGCACGGTTCGGAAGCGTGGCTGCAGGGGCAAGCCACTCTTGCGGCCGAAGGAGTACATGAGGTCAATGTCGACGGCCTCTGGACCTTAGTGAGCTGGGTCTTGCAAATTACGGATTGAAAAGCCATGGCTGGATTAGATCACTATTGCTGCCGTTCTCCTTACATCTCCTTACTGTTTTTTTTTCTACATCCTGTCCCGGACACACTCCTGCTTGCCAGTCAGAGGGGCATTGCTCCCGAAGCTTGTCTAAGTTGAAGGAATCCTGAAGTCCAGGGCAGCACAAGAGCTGTTATTGGCAATAAAATCTCCATCTGGCCATCTGGGTCAGAATCTAAGAATGTCTGAGACCCTCGGATTTTGGTCATTTTCAAGAGTTATTCACCTATTCATAATTAGTCCCCAGCCCTTTTGGGGGGTACCCCAATTTTGACCCACTACCATGTCTTCAACCTTATAACCTTCTGATTGCCTATTATTGTCTTTGGGATCGCCACAAAGGATCAGAGATGTACTTGGGTGAAAACAAGGGATTCATTCAAGTCCTGTCAATTTTGAAAGGCTCTATTGAACATTCAAAAATGACAGTCAGAAGCAACGCAACGGTTCGGCTCAAGTTTCCAGGAAAGACCTCGAAGTCAATCCATCCAATCCAGACCCGAATCGATAAATTGGTGGCAACAACAACAAGGTCCAGTAATCCCATTCCCTGTGATTTTTGCATAGAATCTGTTCATTTCAGAGGTACATCACCAAGACATCTGGCTCCCAGGCCTAAAAATCAGCCCATCCCCTCATCCCCGATGTCCTGCTCGGGCCGGTTGTTGCTCCATCCCCCGCTCTTGGTCACGAGAGTTGCTTCTACGTGTACCGAGACAATGCTGTCCTCTGGATCGCTACCTGAAACCGAAGATCCAGAGCTGGGTTGAATTTAGGCGGTGGCTTCCAACATGTTTCGATATGTTCGGTGCAAATGAGAAATATCAGTTGATGATAATTAAACGTGGTAAGTCGAACAATAATTAGTCAACCATGACAGTTTTACTAGAAATGGGTGGTGAAAATAACCTGAAGTAACCGTGTAAAACATCCCCTACTAGAGGTTATTATTGGGTTTCCCTCACTAAGATATATAAATTGAGATCATCTTCCCAAAGGAGGATGGGAAACAATGAGAAAGAGGAGCATCATGACCAACATTCATCGCCAATTTGCCATATGTTCAGAAGGATCTCACAGACATGTGGGTCTGGCTACCATCTATCCCCCTTATCCCCGAAATTGTTTCACGTTTATGTAAACTTCAGCGGTCCCAAAGCATCAAATTGCTACCCGTTTCACATGGTTTCACATGGTTTCACACAGTTCCCAAGTCTCCCAGTGCCGGTGGAAGAAAACAGGCCCTGCCTATCTCGCTTTCCACTTCCAACCGTCCGTCCGGTCGGATCACCAAGCGCAACTCCGTGGGTTCTTCCAGCGAACCGTCCGGCAGCAACCTGTGGGACATCGCGAAAGCGACATGGTGATCTAACCACCATGTTTGAGACATGTATTGGGGACAACAAATTGACGAGATTTTTTGGATAAACATAGATATCTAAAGATCAAAAAAGAGTTCTTAACCCCATCTGGCTTCAATGATTTCAGAGCCAGGTGCAAATCAACCCCATCGAAAGACTGAACATCTTTAAACCAACCAAGCCCAGTGCAGTGGGTCCCCCAGGCCCTTCCCAGGCCCCCAACCCAGGGACCCATGTGCCTCAAAACCAAAGGCTTGGCGAAGCCCAGGTTTTCCACACACCAGGCCTCATTGCCTTGGTGGATGCGACAAGTGGACTTGTGGCTCAATGGTGAGATAGGATGAGATAGGTATGTTCATCATTGAAAAAAGGGAGACCTACTGGTAAAAGCTATGTATGACCGGAAAGAGACCAGCAAATGGCATGCCGCTGCAAACACCAGTAAACTGCAACATGGACTTTGACCGCCCGAGACTGGGTTTGTGGAGCTGAATTCTTCATACAAAATCCTACGTTTTGTCATTTTTGGCGCTCAGATTTTTCTTTTTATTTGAGGTTGGCAACCACCAGCAGATGGGATGAAATGGACATGTGCAAGGCCCCCCTGATCTTCCACCTGCCATGGTACCAAGGAATGTGGTGCAGCCTGCCACAATCATTTCCAGGTAGCAGGCACCAGGCACAACCACCTGGCCGCCGCGGCAGTGGGAGGATTGAACTGTCAACTGTCCAAGTGCCAGGCTTGGAGCTTAAATCATCCGACAGTGAAACAAATGACACATGGTGATGCAGGTGGGCTTGCGAGGGAAATGGATTCCAAGGGCCATTTCGGGAGTTACTAGTAGAAGGAGTCGTTTCATGGGGCGATGCTGTGCTCAGAATGGTTCAACTACCCTCAGTACAGCTTGAGAATCAGAATGACAGTATATTCAGCACAGGTCAGTATGTTGCCCTTGTACTCAAACCTGAAAAAACAATGGACACTTTATCTTTGGTTCCTCTTTCAATCGACTTTGCTATCAATGTGCTCGGCCTCGGCGGTGACGGCCGAACCACGCGGTCTGAATTCTGAATGTGGTCAACATCCCAAGGGGCAAGAAATTCAAGCAACCTCTGTTGTTTACTTGGACAGGTAATTACACAATCGCCGAAATTTACTTGGTTCCCAGGGCCCTAAATTTTGATGGCTTGATATCATTTGATATCCACCTTTTCTGTTGGCAACGTCACCACTTTTTTTGTTTGGTTATTGTTGCCTAGACCAATGATGGGACAAACGTCTAATACCCCCACTTTGGTTGTGGCTGGATCCTTGGGGTTGGTGGGGTTGACCCCCAAAACGGGTATCGAAATGATTGCGCCCCGCTGTTCACAGCTTAAAATAGCTGGTATGATTAGATACTCATCTCCCCAACAATGGGACCATACGCATGACCCATCTTTAGGTTTCGACAAATCCCCAACTATAAATATAATCATCCATCATAAATCCTAGTAGATCCTAGTTACAGTAGCCTAGTTGTAAACCAACTTACTTAGCAGATTATAAATCCCCAGAGTAATCACACCCTGTTTGCCCGTCTTCTTGGGGGCAGCCTGGTTTATAGTTTGCAGATGTTTGCACTGTCAAGATCCGGGGTTGACACTATTACAAAACTTATCAATCCATGAATCTTAGTGAAACTAGCTATACACCAACTTACCCATTTTCTGTCTGCTTAGTAATGTCAACCCCGGATTAATAAACCATGGTTTATCAATTAGGGGGTACTCCTCCAATTAAACAGCCCAGGGGTTTATTAATCCAGGGTTGACATTACATATCATTTTTTTAAATATGACAATTCTTTTAGATCGACCAGTCTGGCGGATCCGATGATAATAGCAATCACTGTTTCAACGAAAACATGTGAAATAGTGATGGTCAATCAACTGGTTGTCAGTAATGTCAATCCCGAATTTAAGACTCTTCATTGGGGACGTGGTCATAAATTTAAATTGAAACTGGTATTTTTCTATTCATCAACTGGGGGGTTCTTAATTCTGGGTGAACCTCATCCCATTTTCGCCACACCGGCACCTCTCCATGCACGATGTGGTGCGACAGCAGCTGCAAGACGTGCCCTCCAAAGTGGACCCCGAAGACCGTGGCGCCGTCCGCGCGTAGCGTACGACGCCGCAACAACGGATGGCTGGCTTCGCGCCAAGGGTAGGCCTGACGTTTCAGGTTGCTTTCCTCACATGGGAGGCACCAAAACCATTGGTTTCTCTACCGAGAAATGTTGGATGATGTTGGGTGGAGATGGGTTGGTTACTCTAATTTGATGGTTGTTCAGCATCTTGGTGGGACTGATCTGAAACCTTGAATCGAGACTTGAGGAACCAAATGAGCAATGTTCAAAATCCCTCTGTCATTCCATTTCTCCGTTTCTCATTAGGCTGTGTCATCTCACGCAGGTGAAAAGCTACGAAGATAGCCAATGAAGACTGCTAACCCCCCCGTATTGGGGTGGTTATTCCCTGAAATTGTCTCCCCACTTTGGTAATGGGTTGTCCTACGCAAGTCAAAATCCATCGGTCAATTCCACCAACAACTGCAGCTGGAATGTTCATTTTGTAACATCTCGTCCACATTGCAATGGAGCTTCCGGAAGGGCGACAACGCGTGGGATTAAGCTCCAGACCAAAGGCAGTTCCTAGTCGCCTTACATAATGGCTGAGCCAAGTTGCCTGCTGAGTGAAGCTATACTCCCTGTCTTGATCTGGTCTAGTCTCCCAATCATACCATTGCTTATGTACACATGTAGGACCTGCAAGACCTGTGTGTTGTTGAAAGTGTACTAATAATTGGTATGAGGACATCCAGTGTGGTGTGGCTGATGTGTCACAGCATAGAAATCGAAGCCAGTTGTAAAAAGTCTCTCCACATTCACCCAATTGGATTTCATCATCTCGTGTCTCCCAAAGGGGGAATGGGGTGAAGATGCAATCTGTGTTATCGACCGGCGGCGCCGGGGCATTGCTCACTGTCACGACACTGCCAGGGTCCGAGTGCTTTTGCAATTGGGCCTTCTGGCCTACTGTAATAAACAAATGAAACAATGCAAGACACCATTCTTTGCGCAGTATGTAAAATTGGCGCAGGTTTTCCCAAACCTGCCAAAACTGAGTTGGAAATAGGGCTTGTGCTTGTTCAGCTGCTCGGTCTGCGGCTGCATTTCCTCGGGTAGCCCATGCTTCGATGGGTTCGCTGAGGGTGTGAGGATCAACATGGGAAGTCACTTTGACAATTTTAATTAAAAGGGATTTGGCTGTGGCAAAATGGCATAATTCGGCAACTCGGTGCCACAAATCATGGTCATTGCCTGTGTTGGTACAGGGCAGGGCACCGTGTCGGAAGGCTTCCAACTGAACCTGGACTTGTTGATTATCAACCCAAAGGATGGCTGGTATTTGTTTGGCAATTATCCATTCCAAAGCAGCAATGGTGGCCCAAATCTCCGCCCTCAAAACGGTTTGCAACAGACCTGGTACTCCTCCTTGGGCAAGGACAGGAAAGGTGTCTGTCTCCAGGTCAGCAATGACTACCCCCCAGGTGGCAACCCGCAGGAGTGGGTCGTTCGGAAGGCAGGCACTACCATCTGTAAAGATGTTAGCAACATGGGCTTGAGCCGGCACTGGACAAAATTGTTTGGAACGATCTGGTGTGTCAATCAAAAACTGCTGGAAATCATGTAGCTCCTCTGGGAGAGTGAGCCAACCATGGTTCAATGTGCATGCTGGCAAGGAATCAACGGCAAGCTGCAAGGTCTGTGGCAGTTGGGACCTGGCATCTTGTGTGTGGGGGCAATGCCAATGACGGTGCACCACAGAGTCTTCTGCATCACACCAAATGCAGCTAGTTTCCTCAACAACTCCGCTGTGTTTCAGTTTGTCACGTGTGTAAAAGCTACCATTAAGAGCATAACGCACATATCCTTGCTGGTGGGGGTCAAGCTGTTGAAAGAGGTGGGAAACAAATTCAACATCAGCTCGAGCTAAACCATGCATGGATTTCCTGTCTGCGGCAACTGCACAAACAAACGTCCGCCAACCATGTTTAAGTCGGGACTTCAAAAGCTGCAAAGGTGAATGAAAAATGTGAATGTCAAAACCTTGGTGGTCCCGAAACCATCCTTCCCCCAGCCAAACCCATGCAATTTGGTGAAGTCTCTGAAATAGCACTCCACATGGTCCCGGATCAATGCGTTTCTCTGGATGCAAAACGAAGTAATCCATGACTTCGTAACTGGGTAAAGGATCAGCAAAACGTCTGAAAGAGATCACAGTTTGCCACATGCACCAATAGCCTGGATCAGATCTGACATCGCTGAGACATGACAATTGGAGCATGGGATGCATACCTTTGTTGGTCCAGCCTAAACTCCGCAATGCACGGGTCCGCAACTTGTTGATGTGATCACTGCCGTAGATAGTCGTGCTGATACCATGAAGAGCTTTGGGCCAAGCGGCCACGCGAAGGCTGAGTTCCTTCTGGCTGATTGGTGCTGGACTGCGAGCAAGTCTCGGCCAGAAGTCAGTGAGGTCAGTGGCCCTGGTACGGACAACCCGGTTGGTATGCCGGCGGCAAAACACCATTTGGCCTCCGAGGTCCTTGGTGTCATATACCACGGTCTGGCCTGAGAGCCTCATGTATTCCCTGGCCTGTGTGGTGGTGGCCCAGAAGATGGTTTTCTTAGTGTCAAGCTGTATGTCCAGGATCGTGCAAAACTCGTCGATGCTGGTGAGGCTATCTAAGACTTCTTCTGGGGATGGGCCAGTAGTCTCGATGTTATCGACGAATGTCCAGAGTTGAATGGTTGGCGTGGCCAACTGCACCCATTGAAACAGCACCAAATTTATCATGTACATTGCTGTCACACTGAGAGGATCACCCTCAGGAAAGCCCGTGGTAGATCTCAGACCGGGGCCAGCTCCACCTGTGATCACAAATCTCCTCTCCAATGCCGTGATAGCTCGAATCCAAGGCGAGAGGATCTCATTGGGGATTCGCATGCGTTTAGCTATGGCTATCACAGGTATGCGCGGCAAGCAGTTGTAACACTTGACAATGTCACTGATGCATCCATGGATGGAGGTGTCATCATACCACGTGCGCTCGATCATTGCGGAGATTGACCACCAAATGTGGGCTGTTTCTTTCTTGGATCTGTTTCCAATCAACCCAGGTGGGGAAAACTTTGCAAGCCATGATAAGATTTCTTTGGTGCGAATTGAAGACCAAACTCTGTATGCCAATGAGAGCACACAGATTGGTCTGAATGCCGATGGGTCGGCTGCATGCTGGTGTTTCTCTATTGCAGTGATCAGCCCTGTCTGGAGTTCAATGGGCCATGGGGCGCCCTGTTCGATATGCCAAAACATCTCCAGCATTTGATTGGTCAGGTTGACAGGCATGTTCATCAAATCCTGCTTGGAAACTCCATCAGGTCCTGCGGCAGTAGAGGATCGTTTCCGTTGAACTTCCTTCATCCACACCTGAAGCGTGATAGGATGGTATGGCATGTCCTCAGGTGGTTGAGGCAAATGGGTCTCAACAAACTGGCAGAACGGGTGCCATGTGTCTCCTGGTGTGTGTCTGTGTTTGTCCCATTTCTTGGTCCAAAGGTCGGCAAATTGGGTGAACATGTCTGTTCGTTTGGCTAACCATCGTTCTTGGGTAAGGCAATCTCCAGGCTGGATGGTATCTGGGTCAGTCAAGATGAGGCCATGCTGGTGTTGGGCCATAAGCAGTGGGCCATTGGGACCGAAGACAGGCAAGTCTAAGTCCAAGTCCCCAGCTGGATAGCTAACTTGCCCATCATCCGTGGCTGCTTCAACTGTGGTGGAGAGGCTTGTCAATAATGTTTGAACAGGCATGGCCCTTGGTTGGGCGGTGTCTTTGTAGATTCGGTGTGGGTCTGCAAGGCGGCTCTTGCGGGCTTCAACCCGTCGGTGCTTGATGAGGGCTTTCTCCATGGCTGTAAAATCAGCAAGAAATCCTGCCAAAAGACGGGTACTGGCCTCATAGTCAGGGGGGGCTCGTGGAATCTCAGACAGGGTGCCCGCTGCTTGTACTGCCCGTGTGGGCCAGTACTTCCGGAAGCCTTTGGTGAATCCGGGTGCAGTTAATATAGACCGCCAGAGTTTCTGGATCTCTTGCATGGGTCGAGTCCCGTCTTGTCTGGGTTTGACAAGGTGGCAGTAACTCTGGATCCGTCGGAGCTGGCGCGTCCAGTGAAAATGCTGCCAATGGTCACCCGCAAATTGGATCTGGATGTCTGATTTCCGGGAACGTTTCAGTGGTGGAATTTCCCTTCTAACCCAAATCACCTCAGTGGTACAGGCTCGGCCCCGCTGTTGGGGTGTCAGTCCTGGAAGGGCTGCTTGTTGGAGGTGACTGTCAAGGCCGGCTTCAAGGTGCTGCCACAGGGCCCTGTAGAATTCTGGTTGATCAGGCTTCCCGTCAATTGCCGGCAAAGTGGCAAAGTGCTCTTGAGCTTGTTCCCACGGCAGTGCATGAGGCCGTCGCCATACGGGCACATGTTCCATAGGTCCTAAGGGACTGAGTGTTACGTATAGCAATGCATGATCACTAAACCAGGTGGGGTCAACTGTGACCGATTGCACAAAGGGCAACAGCTCTCTGGACAGCCATAGATGATCCTTAATGGTGCAATTCTTACAGGTCTTTTGTGGTTCTTGGCCTCATTGGTGGTATGCAAATGTTTGCGCTTCAACGAAACCATGGTCTTGCCAAAACTGGGCAAGTTCAATCTGGTCAGTTTCAAGGTTGAAGTCACCCATGAGGAATCTTGGTCCATGGCTTTGGAGAACAATCCTACTGGTAATGGCCTGCAGCAACTCGTGTGTCTGGGCAAGGACCTTAGGGGTGTGACAATCTTTTGCGAACCCATAGGCTATGCCACCCCTGATCCATTGGCCAACATGTATGCCTGCAGTCTGGACCCGTGCTGATGACCAGATCTCAGGAGACCAATCATTTGTCAATGGCCTGGCCGGAAATTTGGTGCAAAAGCCTACCCCCACATGTTTGCCTCCAATGGAGGCTGCATTGGAGCTGATACGTGGTGCTGGAGCTCCCGGAAGGAATCTGATGCCTGCGTTATCAGGTTGCATTTTCAAGTTCTTTTGAAAGTGTTCAATGCCTCCATG